TTGTGTCGGTTCTTTAATTTCATAGATCTATTGTAGTTTTATTTGTCCGTTATACCAAGTCGTTATATTTTTTTGGTCTTTATAATCGAGCTATTTCTTTGGATTCATTCTTAGCTTCTGCGTGATTTGTAAAACCAGTTTCACTATGACCAGTAACCTTGATAATATTATTATCAATAACAATCATTCTTACCTAAGTAAGGTTTCATTTCTAAATGGTGTACCTGTGCATGACCATGTGTAGTTAAAATACCTACATCACTTCCTTGGTAATGCTGAAGTGAGGCGCATTTCTATGCATGTTTTTATGCGACACATATAATAATCAAGTGGGCAAAGAGGGAAAGGGGGGAGGGTGAGGGGATGTGTGTGTGTCATCCGATTTTTGCATTTTATGTTGAAATTGTCATTTTTACACTTGTATCGTCATTTCATTTTTTTTTATTCTACATATCAATGTAGCATTGGTGGAATAGGGCGGGTAATTTTTGAACTTTATGTAAAAATAGACAATACAGGATATGGTGTATCAATTCATGCACATAAAAACAATAACATATGAACAGAGCATTTTTTGCTTTTCTCCATCTCAAAATCACAGTGAGGACAAAAAAAGACAAGAATACAAAAAATTACCATAGCACAATAACACAATGGTGGGATGTATAAATACCGAACCACGCCAAAAGGATATTACCAAAAATGGACTAAAAATATACAAAGACAAATAAAAGGAACACTTATAACACGCAATTAAGATGATAAACAACGTTAGTACCTAGAATCTATACTTCAAGACAATCATGTATTATTTGTGAAGTTGGTACGGAATATTTATCAACGATGTCTTGGTATCTTCCGATGAACTTTATTTTTAGAAAAAGGACGAGACGTTCTTTGACTTTCTGCTCAGACACTGGTGACGTTTTATAAAGTCTGAGTAGCAGCTGCAAGCCCTTGAATACCGAATGAATTGGGAAATGTACATCCCATATGCAGATGAAGTTGGTAAATTGCTGCTAAGGTGTCAGAAATTTATAATTTCAAAATAAAAATCGTCTCGTTTTTCATATATTCTGGTACTAAGATGACCGCTTATGTCAAATTCGAGGTATAAGTATAAAATTGAGACGGAGGAAACCGTGTCTGTTGTTTCTTTAATTTATAGTTCTAGAGGATATATTAATGGAACCCAATCAGAAAAGTTTCGATTCTTAATGGAAAGAACATCATCAATATGTCTAATGTGAAATTAATTGAACGGGCTTATTTGATCTTCTTGTTTTTGACAAGTGTCTGATGGAACTCCGACTCATATGAAAACAAGAAGAGGTCAACAAGGAGAAGCGCACAAAGAGTGAATTATTGTCCAATTGAAAAGCAAATTAATTTGCTGTTACAAACTCAATGGAAATTTTCAGATTAGCCTGATAAAATGCTACTGAGTTAAGGACAACAACATACTGGAAAACAAATACAGTGTTATTAACTTTTTTATATCTGAACAATGAGATATGTATGAGGGTCTGGGTGGGGTTTCCAGAATACAGAATAGGTGGCAAAAAATAATAAATATAAAAATGAGCAAAAAAAAAAAGAAAAAAAGAATAGAGAATAATGGGGCGCAAAAGTATAAAGAATAACCGTGGAAAATAAAAGAATAAGGTCATATGATACTGATAACAGAAATGAACAGTGTACAGAATACAGAAATCATATAATTACAGATATACAGATAAATTTGATAGCAAAATAACTTTCACCCGAATTTTACAGAATAAACGTTATTTGTTAGGATAAAGAATAATGCCCCAAAATTAAAGAATACAGAAAAGAAGAATACTCCATCCAGACCTTCATGTATGACCATATAGAGTACCCTGACTTGTATATTCTTATTGTGCTACGAATAGAGTAAAAATAAGAATTGTTTCGTGTTGTAATGGCCGTCGATGGACAACCGAACATTTAAGGTAAATTCTTCTTATTTTATTACCAGAATACATTCGGATGTCGGTTAAAGTTTCATCTTTCAACTGAATACCTACACTTCACAAAAAATCTAATAAAGAACGATTTCTAGCCAGGTCGTCTAGAGGTCGACTACTCATCTTTCTAAAGTTCTTACCACCATTGGTTTTACAGTAAAATATGGCATTCAGGATTATTATGATGAGGTTTATTCATATGTCTTGTCAATCAGGTATGGATTCTTAATACTCCAAAATCGTCAACTGCAATCTTTACAATTTTGCACTTATATCAAAACCTTTGCTTTTTCTACGCTTAACACTACAATTACCTATTCTCAATTAAAAGATCGACTACATTGTCCCAATTAAGAGAGCATTATCTTCAACAAATTGGAAACATAGATACAAATGTCTTGTTTAAGGTCATGAAAAATCTTACTTTGTGAAGAACCCCATAATGACATAATAACAGTCGGTATTCCAACGGTTACTTATTGGGCACACCTACTGGAGGATTTATTTTTGTATTCATATTAAGCAGAACCCATACAGATCCTTACAAATAATCTTTTATGTCACTGTTAGATACATTGGTGATGTTGTTCTGTCACTAAATAACCCAAATTTCAATGAGTGCTTACATCTGATATTTCCCAACGAACTTGAGATTAAGGATACTACCAAAGGTAGAAGGTCTTATTCATATCTTTATTCTTTTCCCGATATCGACAATGATTGACGACTTCATAGAATTTGAGTCTATGAAATACGTGATGATTTCAACTTTCCGATTGTCAACATCCCATTTCTCAGCAGTATTATATATTCTCTGCTCCATCGTATGGCATTTACATTTCTTAAGTTACGCTCGTACATGTTCACATTATACGGACATCATTAATAGGAGTGTGCTCGTACAGAGTTAGATTGATATACATTTATTATGAAGCGGAAAGTTATCGACGATGTGATCATGCATTTACTGCCCAATATAAACACCCACGATGGTTAGACTTGATATCTAGCCATGGTTTGTGTTTTGAAGAGTCATAATTGTCTGATGACTTTTGAGGTGGGATGTGTGAGGAAATTTCTCCCCTTGAGTAGTATATTCTTAACCAGACGTTATCGGCTGAGCTAGGGAAGGACTTCTTCAACGCTGACGGTTAGAGTGCAAATTTCGGACATACATTTCTATGAAGCTGACATCATTTGATTGTCAACATATTTATTACGTTTAGTGGACATGTTTTTCAACAAATAATCCGCCTTCCTATGGGAAACAGTTGGGTTCCTCTACTTGGCCTCTTGTTACTTTATTCATTTGAAACAGACTACTTACCGATGCTTCGCAGGAAGAATGAAACGAAGCTAGCATTATCATTTAAATTCACGTTCGCCATATAGATGATATCCTCCCGCTAATTAACTCAAAGTTTGATGACTATGTGAACTAATCTATCCCAGTGAACTTGAAAATAAGGATACCAAAGATACCGATAAGTCTGCCTCATAACTTATACTAACTTACATCTAAACATTGCCAATGAGGATCGGTTGACAAAAAACCTTTACAACAACAGAGATGATTTTAGTTTTTCAATTCACCTTCCATGCTCATATCTATATAACAACATTACAGTAGAGCTAACATTGAGTATATCCCCCAGTTGACACAATATTCCAGAGATTGAGTTTCCTATCATGATTTTCGTGTTAGGTGGATTGCAAACTATTGAACCAAAAGTTCCAAGTCGTAAAGGTGAAATCATTCTTCGATGTAATGTAGTTTCTTATTTTGTTGTAGTTCTGAAAGATAAAGGATTTCAGTAAGTTACTTGTGCCGATTTTGGTTCGGAGAATGAGCTATGTGTTTCTATGAAGGAAGTTATAATTTATCGGAAAAATAACTATATGGTCTGAATACTCATTTGGTCCAGCCCTTGAATAACTAAACGGGTATATAACCATATGATCCAAACACTCATATGGTCTGGAACATATATATTAAATACAATAAACCGGTGTCATAAAACGGACAAGTAGAACAAAACTCACCTGCCACTTTCTACCTATAATCTTAATCACTACACTCTATTTAAAAACTTTCAATCAGCTTTAATAATTGCTATAAATATATTCTCCTGTTAATACGTCGACCCGTTTTTAACGTGCTAGTTCACAGGTCATATTACGCAGGAAGACATGTCATCCTACAATGAATGTGCCACATCCTTACCAGAGAAGCAGCATTCACTTTTTTTTTAAAGTTTTTGGCTCAACCCGGACGGGGATCGAACCCAAGACTTCCACACTCCATCTCAGCATGACACCATGATACTTCCAACGCGATAAATCATAAAAGTCCTTTGTTGGATCAACACTAAACCCCTACTCTTTTACATTATCGAATCCTCAGGCAGACTACGAGAAACTTTAACAACAAACTGTAAAGTTTGACATGGTAGATGGAAATGTGATTTCAGTTTTTCATCCAACCCCCAGCTGACTATACTATATGGGGTTTTCTCATTTTTGAAGGTCGTACGGTGACTTTTAGTTGCTTGCATCCATTTCATTTCAACCCTAGTTCATTGGCAATCATACCACATTTCCTTATTATTATATCATTCAAGCTTTTCAAATTTAAACGAGTTAAATTCCTCCAAACGGACCGGCTTATTTTTTTTTAAAGTCATCGCCAATTGCACCCATGAGGATCTAAGAAGAGCAATCGATTTTTCATGTTTTACCTTGCAGTCTACTACAAATTTGGTATGCTCTTTTCTTCTATCAACTAACAGTCTTGACCCTTGCAAACCCTCCCATTTAGAGTGTTAAAGATTTTTGAGTGTTTACATTGTACTTAAAATTGATGTTCATAAATAACATTAGGTTTTCCAAAATAAAGAAAACTGGTATTTTTCTATATATTAAAATAGAAAGTACTTTTGTTATTGTAGATTATGTAATTTTGCGTTATAAATCATATTGTATCATGACAAAGCATATATGTTATATCTTCTGTATGTGACAAAATAATCCTACAACATTGTACAAAAAACACTTATTATTAAAAAATGGCAAATGCGACTGAAGCAAACTGCCCCAAACCTGAAGACGGAGAAATGAGTGCAAACGATATTGAATCTATTGAAGGATTGTCAAGCGATACTCATGATGATGGGGCAGAAATTTTTGATAGCCGCCAGGATGACAATGCCAAAGAAAATGGCGACGGGCAGCCTGAAAATGGTGATACTGGTGTTAACACTAGAATAAAGTTCTTTAATTCCATATCCGTGCAACCTAAAAAAGAATTCGAGCCTCCTCAGGACCAATCCGGACAATCTCAAGATCAAACCGAGCCGCCTCAGGAACAATCCGGACAATCTCAAGATCAATCCGAGCCGCCTCAGAAACAATCCGGGCAATCTCAGGATCAATTCGAGCTGCCTCAGGAACAATCCGGGCCATCTCCAGATCAATCACAGCCGCCTCAGGAACAAACCGGGAAATCTCAAGATCAATCCGAGCCGCCTCTGGAACAATCCGGGAAATCTCAAGATCAATCAGAGCCGCCTCAGGAACAAACCGGGCAATCTCAAGATCAATCAGAGCCGCCTCTGGAACAATACGGGCAATCTCCGGAAAATTTACCGTTAATCAACATATCACAAAACAACGAGGAACAAGAAACCGTAGAAATAGAGACACATAATGATGTACGATATACAAAACTGTGCAATTCTATGAGGACAATGAGGATAATAAATATCATTTTGATCGTGATAATATTTATTTTAACTGCAGCTATGATCGCCGTAATTGTGCATTTTACATCAAAGGTAGGACACAGTTTATTTTAATCATGTCTCTGTCTGTCTCTGTTCTGTTTCTCTCTTTAATTGTTAACACATTAATGTAAAAGTTTAAACTGAAATACAGGAATACTCTTTTTAAATTAACTTGTCAAATGTATTAATTTTATATGTCGTGTTTACGACGCTAAAAAGAGAATAAAGGAAAACATCTTGAATGTCTGTTTTCGTTTTCATCTGAAGAAATTCATATCAATGCCATTGCAAGCAATTATATATTACCATGTATATTAACCTTTCCAACTTTCAAAATATTTACACAGTGAAGAAATTTAAATGACCCACATATTTACGACTATTGTCGTTTTTTGTTTGTTCGAGATTCAATGAAAATTAGATTTCCTAAAAATTATGCATTTTTAAAAATCTTAGCGACCCATTTATTATTGATAGGAATTTAAATTTATATTTATATATCTATCAAAGGTAAACAAAAAACTATTCTAACCTCTCCGGTTATTTTCAGATAATTACATTAGATAGAAGCGGAATTTTGATTGGCTGAGACATTCCAGAAGTTAAATTTAATTTCCGCATTGAATGCAATCGGCCATAGACTACAATTAAGTTCTCCGATTTGTTCTTTTACATTACGTTTTGTCATACTAACAATATCCCACCAGTGGATTCTGCAATTTTTTTTTAGTATGTGCAATGTTCCGTACAAGTCCAAAAATACATCCAAAATTTAGAAAAATGACACTGACCTACTTGACAAATTAAGCAAATACACATCCCTACTGATATGAACAAGTCAAGAGATGTTCTGTAAATATTACCTTTTTGCAGCTGGCCAAATCACTCCTTACATCCACTGAACAATTAAAATTACACATCCAAAAATTTATTTCAACTCTCTTCTTTCATTTCCACCCCATAACATCTTAGAAATTAATGAGAAAGAAAAGAAAATTTAAGAAAAATTACAATATAATTAAAAGGAAGACTGGATTTAACACGTGATTTCATGGTTCTAGCATAACAAATGTAAATGAATAGGATTGTTAAAGCGTTGTAAGTGCATACATTTTTAGTGTGCTTCGGTCACCGCTTTTACATTCCAATAAAATGACAAAAAGAAGCATTCAATTCCTAAGTACTTTCATGTATTGTAAGACTTTATTTAACGGTACACTTCCAATTACATACATGCGTTCATCTATTCACTATATATTTAGAATTTTGAACTTTGACGATCATGACACTCTCTAATAAACACTTGAATTGCACATTTATTGACAGAAAATTTTATTTCAAGGGTTCAAAATACTGGTATGCTTGGATTGATAAAATGATTTTTAACTATTATTTCTGGCAAGCCGTTTTCATATTTATTCTAACTTCAAGATATCTAATATAATATATAAGAAATCTCATATAATGTATAAGAAATCTCATATAATATATAAGATATTTCATATAATATAAATGATATCTCATATAATGTATAAGATATCTAATATAATTTAGTTTTTTTTAAGATATCTTATAAAGTATATAAGATATCCTATAAAGTTTATAAGATATTTTCTAAAGTTATAATATATCTTATAAAAAATTTAAAAGACCACGTTTAATAATTTCATGCGTCCGAAGCGCTTTTCTGGATTTACCTTCATCAGGAACGCTCAAAGCCAAATATTTGAAATCCGAGGATGTATAAATACCGAAACCGTTGAAGAGCTATATGACAAAAATACCTAAAATAAATAGCCAAATTCATCTAAAGTCAACCTTCCCTGAGGTAAGTTTATAAGATATCTTATTGATATTTTTTTAAATTAGATATCTTATATACTTTGTAAGATATATCATATATTTTATAAGATTTGTTATATAAAAATCGAAATCAAAGCAAGTGATGACACCACTTGAATTTACCATCAGCAAATACATCTTATGCTTCTAAACAGAAAAATAATCTCAAAATCATCAATTATAATCAGCTTTTCAATATCCTTATTTTAAACAAAGTTGTCAATACTACCAGGTTTTGTAGTTTTTGGAAATTCTTTTTAGTTTTTTGTCTACAACACCCTTTATAGATATACAGTCTTCTAAATGGAGCAATACTCCAATTTATTATATAAATTATTGTATGTTAGGCACTATAATTTGATACAGACTAAGATATCTTACGTCACAGTACAGGTTTCTGATAGATTGTTGGTTGCTTAACGTCTAGTGGCAAATATTGTATGTTCACGAAGGTACAAATTAACAATACATGCAATAAGTAGGTCCTATAATAATACTCGACTGGGATGAAGGGAGAACAATTTGGAACTGGCTTGAAAAATAGATAGGAACTGACATTTTGCCTTGCCCCCTCAAAAAGTTGTTGCAGGGCTTCTTTGCGTGCAGGGTGGCACTCTTTCTACTCACGAGGCATCAGACCGAACGTGGCCGCAAATTTATATTTTCTGCAAAACCAAACGGACACCCAACTTTGACAAGGGTTTTACTGGTGGTCGGAAGAAGGGCAATTGTCACTATATTCACCAGTCAAACTTTGGCTCTCCTTATTCTAGTTACCTTTCATCTGCTTTCACAGAACAATCAACAAGAACTAAACGTTTCTTTGTCAATCTTCCAAAAGAAAAGAGTTCCTCATTTTAAACAAACAGAAAATAGTAAAAAATATTTATTCATTGCAAATAGAAAAAAGAGGCTCTAAAGAGCCTGTGTCGCTCACCTTGGTCTCTGTGTATATTCAACAAAGGCCACTCTCCAACATTGTAGACGAGAATAGAGTTCATGACAAAAACCTCTGTTTTGTTGATCTTGTATTGCTGATCATTTATTTTGTTTAGTTTCTCTCTATCTTCCTTTAAGTTTTTGCTCAAAACACAAAAGAGGGTAAAAAAAATCCTTATTCAAGTTGCTGGGCAATTATTTCTATAAAGAGTGACTGTCTACTACCTATATCAGCGAAATTTAACGTGTTAGTAGATCTTGCCTTGCTGATCATTTTTTGTGATTTAAAGTGTCTATTCATTTATTATAATTTTTATCATCTAAGGCAAAACCCCCCAAAAATGATAAAAATCATCATTAAAGGATCATAATTCCAAGGAGACGTCAGACGATTTCCTCTATATTGTCTTAATTGTAGATCTTGTTTTGCTGATTATTTTTGCTTATTTAAGTTTCTATCTATCTATTATAGTGTTTAAGATATAAGCGCAAATAATTGGAAAAATCATCATCAAAGGGCGATTACTCTAATAAGGAGTCGGCTGACGATTTCGCAATGTGGACTTATTTGTAGAACTTATCTTGCTGATCATTTTTGCAATTTAATGTTTCTGTATCGATTTAAGTTTTCAAGATAATAGGCAAAAATGAAAAATAAATGGTAAAATTTGTCATTTAAGGGCAATTACTCTTATAAGAAGTCATCTGACAATTTTGACGTATTTGGATAATTGGTAGAGCTCAACATTCAGAACATTTTTGCCCTTGTCAGATTTTCTCTATTGATAACAGTTTTCAAAATAATAGACAAAACGTGCATTTTAACCCCATGTTCTATTTTTAGCCATGGCGGCCATGTTGATAAACAGGCGGGTTCATTGGACACATTTTTAAAACTAGATACCCCAAAAATGATTGTGGCCAAGTTTGGTTAAATTTGGCCCAGTAGTTTCAGAGGAGAATATTTTTGTAAAAGGTTAACGGACGACGACGGACGACGGACGCCAAGTGAAGAGAAAAGCTCACTTGGCCCATTGGGCCAGGTGAGCAAAAAATGGTAATACTACCAGTCATTTAAATTGGAAGACTAAGCTTCCCTGTACACATTATAATTGCTATTTGTATGACCACACTTAATTTTTATTAGACACTATTCCTTGAATGCCAACATATTTTTTTCAGCAGACCAAAGGATGTAGGCATTCAAGGAATAAACTATCACGCTATTTTCCGCAATACAGACATATAAAAAATAAAAACAAATGTTGAACGAGGTTCAATGTGCGGACGACCCTTGAAAATATACATGTACCACAACCTTTCTCTCTGATGTTTTTACTACAATACTTACGTATCAATTAAATTTGTCTATGCCTGTCAATACAGACCATGATTAAGTATTATTTATGATACGAATTTCACACCACGATGATATTCAAAACAAGTTCAACAATGAGCATTGAACCGTTAATGTGTGCATAACTTCAATATGATAAACTATTCGGATCGGTCTTTTGAATGAACATTTTTTACTTTACTCAAAGAGGTTTTATAACAACCTTGGTTTACTGTTCACATAGTTGCACTTTTAAAACTTAAATACTACTTTGTTGAAAGTTTTTACGTATCAAACGGTTATAATTAGGAATACAGCTTTTGATTTAAAAATATAAGTTAACAAAAAAAACATACAAAAATATCATAATGATTCAGAACATATAACTATCATTCGAATACGCACTTTTGTGTTTTCGTAATGACATAATGTATATTTGTTTATCTTTTGTATTGGGAGAGGACGTCTCTAATGTTGTTATATGTTTTGTCCAATCTTTTTTTTGCTACTCTTGCAAATGAAATATATTAAAACGAAAATAACATGAATAAGACGTACACTCCAAATCTGCTTTTGGTTTAAACAAAAAGGATATTAATAGTAATTACCTTTGGAAATTTAAGATATGATATATAATAGAGAATTTCCATTTAAATCAAATCAAATACATGAATCAGAACGTTGCTACTAACAGATTCTTATAGTAAACAAGGGACCACAATTATGTTATTTTCATAATGACTGAAAGCACAAAAAGTAAAGAAAAAGGACAGAATTCCACAGGAGATGGAAACGTTGCTAAAAACCTCATATCCGATGAAAGTGAAAAGACGGAAGCATCTCATAACGAAAGTAGACTGATTGCTCATTGCAAAGATCGTCCACGATGCTTTTATATTATTGTATCCCTATCTATACCACTGATAATATTTATATGTATAAACATTTACTGCATGTCTAAAGAGGTTAGCCAAATAGGTTTTAGCTATTTATTTTCTTTAAATCAGAAATATTCTCCCCTTAAGGAAATTTGTTCGACGAATTATTGCTATTTTAAAAGAACAAAATTTTATACAACAATCGATTTATAGTTTCATAAATAATATCAAAATTGAATAGGGAACACTGTAATTCAGTAGTTGTCGTGGATTCCTGTCTGTCATACTTGTTCTACGTTTTTTTGTTTTGTTATGACTCAGGCGTCTGTGCCGTTTCGTCTGATTGCTTAACATTTTGTCATACCACGTATTTTATACATTTCCTGATAGTTTTATTGAATTTTTTGAACTGAAACAAATATTCGATAATAACTTTGTCTTCAACTTAACTGCAGTATTTTTACTTTTACAGGAACAGAGTTGTATTAATGATAAAGGCTGCCAACATATACCTAGCCCACAAATGCTCAAATGCAATGGTATTAAGAACATCGGTAAGTGATGAATAAATAGTATGACGCACTAAGAGAAGTTACATACACGTTTGAAAATATTTTCAGGAAGCACAAAACGTGGTTCTGGAGCACTTTTCAACAGTTCTATGCAAAGCTCAACAAGGTCGTTCAAGATCAAATGGTAAATTTGACAAGATGTGATAGATTTATGGTATAGATTTACCAAAGGGCCTATTATTGTTCACACAAAACAAGACCATCCTAGATTATGACCAAAGGTATGTGAGGTATATGTCAATGAGACAAACACAAAAAGAAAAAACTAAACAAAATACACATAGCAGGCAAATTTTTCTACCGAGGAATCGAGACATTAGATTTATTAATTTTATTACAAATATTCAATTCAATAATAAAAACAATTAACAAAATTATGGGTTTTAAATCTTTTCATACTAAATGAATAAATCGAAAGTGAAAATAGCACAATTCCAAACTGTCCCACATGCATTTAAGTTTATTTAAAGAAGATAAATTTTACAACAATTTGGAAAGAAACAAAACACCCCAAAAATTCCAAATCTAATGACAACAGAGATATTGCACTAAGTATCTTTTTCTACTTGCTGTACTTAATCTAAGGACTTTTATACTGATCTTCATATCTTAGATGGATAATTTGTGGTTTAAATTTTAGATTCTTTTTGAAATAATGATAATTTACTCAGAGAAATGTATGTACTATGTCATTCACATTTTTATTTGATAGAACGTTTATGCATATTATAGTAGTTATTATTATAATAAAATAATTGGATGACTCATAAATAAAGATACGTATTCATTTATTGTAGATAGAGTTTTAAAAATTGAAATATGGGAAGAAAAGTTAAAAATGGTAGTGCAACTTCCGACCAATTTTCTTTTACATAAAATTAAATACGATGAGAGGGAAATTGTGATGTGTAGAAAGAAAAAAAAATATTACTACATTTCTTGTAACAAACCTTATAACGATAACTGCACGATCATTTATGAAAGTGCAAAAAACACGTCTATTACTACTATTCAGGAAGCAGGTGATCGTATGCTGACGTATGAAATACCTACCAAGTGCATTGATAAAAGAGCTGGACTTGAATGGATTCTACCGCAAAAGTGCAGGTCACCAAAACCCAAAATTTGAATTTGCAATAGTTTGAATTTAACCTAAAATATTAAAATATCTTGAAACAGTGTGGGTTTCATATCGTTTTGACAAATCAAGAATATTTAATTGCACTTTATTGTGCTTGTGTACGGTGAAGCAATAGGAGAAAAATGAATGTACTTATTTTGTGTCATTCAGGGATACCTCATATATATTTTCTTTTCTTTTTTATGATAATAATAATAACAATAATAATAATAATAATAAATTGTTTAACTTTTTATACAAATGATATTTGGGTATTGTTTCCTTCTCTGTATTTTGAATTTCATGACATTTGATTTTGAAAAAAAGAAGAGGGTTACCGACAGAATTATTTAAATCCAAAAATATTTTAAGTTACACTATCTTGTACTTAATTGTTTTGAAATGACTTTCTTTATGTATTGTTTTTTTTAGCTCACCTGGCCCAATGGGCCAAGTGAGCTTTTCTCATCACTTGGCGTCCGTCGTCCGTCGTCGTCGTCCGTCGTCCTCGTCCGTCGTCCTCGTCCGTTAACTTTTACAAACATCTTCACCCCTGAAACTAAATTTAACCAAACGTGGCCACAATCATCATTAGGGTATCTTGTTTCAAAAATGTGTCCGATGATCCCGCCTGCCAATCACTATGGCCGACATGGCTAAAAATAGAACACAGGGTCAAAATGCAGTTTTTGGCTTATATCTTTGAAACAAAAGCATTTAGAGAAAATCTGACATGGAGTAAAAATGTTTATCAGATTGAGATTTATCTGCCCTGAAATTTTTAGACGAATCAGACAACCCGTTGTTGGGTTGCTGCCCCCGAATTTGTATTTTTAAGAAAAGTTTGCAGTTTTTGGTTATTATCCTAAATATTATTATAGATAGAGATAAACTGCAAAGAGCAATAATGTTCAGCAAAGTACGATCTACAAATAAGTCAGTATTGACCAAAATTGTTAATTGACCCCTTAATGAATTATTGCCCTTTATAGTAAATTTTTCGTAAATGTTTGTAAAAGATCCACTTAGTCTATTGGGCCAAATAGAATTTAACTTAGCCAAAATTTTCAATAGGGTATCTTGATTGAACAATGCATCCAATGACCCTGTCATCCAACCAACATGGCCGCCAAGGCAAAAAATAGAACATAGGGGTTTTCTATAGAAGTCTAAGGGAAAATGGTAAAAATAACAATTTTCAAATGGTCACAACTTGAAAGCTAATTTAAATAATGATAAGGGGTCTTCGGTAACTATTAAGACTACAATGGGATGATCTGCTTTAAATTTAACTACCGGACCAAATTAAACCAAACTTAGCCTCAATCATTATTAGGGTGTCTAATACTATTAATTATGATTTTAACCTTATTTTACATGATTTCCAAAACAACAGTTGACACAGGTGAGCGACACAGACTCTTGAGAACCTCTAGTTAATGTTTGTATTCGCACTTTTGTATTTTATTGTCATTCTTTTTATCTTCAATGTTGATTGATATCGGTGCCAAATGAATACTTGCTGGTGCATCAGAACAATCCAACTCCTTTCAAAAACAAACCCTCTATCAAAGAAATCATGATAGGAAACACAAACCCTGGAATATCGTATCACCTGCTTAACATTTGTGTGTTCAAATCATTTCGATAAAAGGAGATGTGGGGTAAACGTCAATGAAACGGCAACTAGACTTTAGGGGTTCATGCGATTTCCTAACTTCTTGATTGTCATCTAACTGTTCAATATTGCAATAAATCTATCCAGACCAGGAGTCAGTTATTTTCAGAGTTGGAAAGATTTGATTTATCAGATTAAAAAAATAACGAATGTTTTATTTAATGTATATTTACATTATACGAAAGGCAACTTGTAAAACTGCTACTGCATGTAAAACTTCAACATGATAAAAATCTAAAGGATTTTTCTATCAGGAATATTTTTTTCTAAACTTCGTATAAATGACCTTGGTCTTGAAATAAAAATTTTCGTTACAAGAAAATTCATCGAGAACAAAGACTGTGTAATACCTGCAAGTCATCAAAGATGAATTTCATTTTATTTTGAATTGCAAGGTAATTGCAAGGTCAACGAAAATTTCAGACAAAATCTATATAATGATATACAATTAGATGATGAACATTTCATTCATTTCCCTGATGAACAAACATAATTTTATTTATTAAACCCAGATTCCTTTTAGACATGTTTGAATTATTGGCTTATTTTAAAAAGGTCATTAGAACTGAACTGAAATTTATCACTTACGTTTGTTTTTGCATACTGTTTTGTTTGTATTTTGTTGTTTATTGTTTGTTTAAATTTGTATTGCCACAAACATACTGTAAATGTTTAATATTGATTTGATATGCTTTGATAAAAATGAATATAATGGAGCCAATTAAAGGTTTAACTCTTTCAACAGAAATCTGTCCTTTGAATCCACATAAAATTATAATCTTAAATATAAAATATATATATTTTCTCTATTTATAGCGGTTTTGAAGATAAAAGACAAAAAATGCATTTTACCCAGCTATGTTCTCTTTTTCGCCATGTCGGCCATGTTTGTCAGCAGGCGGGGGTCATCGGACACATATTTAAACATTATATTCCATCGATAAGTATGGCCAAATTTGTTCAACTTGGCCCTGTATTTTCAGAGATGATTTTTGTAAAAGTTAACGAACGACAGACGACGACGAACGCAAAGTGAAAGCAAAAGCTCACAATGTCCCAGAAAGTCAGGTGAGCTTATAACAATAATGATAATAATAATAATTATTATTATTTTAATCTTTATTATGTTATTAGCCGTGTCATTAGGGATGATTTTCATTTTCTTTATTTTTTCCTTTTTTTTTCATTTGATTTAGAAAAAGGACAATGGTTAGTTAACGAAAGAATTATTTAAAACCCAAAATATTCTACTGTATATACTCATACTATCTCATACATCGTATTGTTTTCTTAGACGAATTAGATGTTGTAATTGCAGTTTTCTGTGATACCTTGTATTTCATTAGCATTCTTTTTATATTTCATGTTTACTTTTACTGATCGTAAATGCATACTAGTTGGTCTTCATTCATTTACAAAGCGTGTATGAAACAAGTGAATTTCTTTCAATAACAAAATATTGTTTCCCTGATTTTCATCTAGAATGTGCAGGCATGTCCACATTGGTTAATTCGTATATCTCTTTGTTATTGTCCATTCAGATATGTAATGTTGGTATTTTCTTGAGGATACCTAACATTCCTTCCAATGTTAAAATTAGGAAATATTATGCTTGGTTCTTAGCATGTGTGTGTGTTCGAATTATTTTGAAAAAAGGAGGTGTGGGGTATACGTCAATGAGACGGTACCTCGACTTTAACAAAATGTCCAGAAATTTGTAGAAGTTCAACAGTAACATACCGCCATTAACAATAGACAACTGTCTTGTTTTGTTTTATACACGATTGAAGATTTATCATAAACGCACAATCTAATAATAATAACAATAATAATAGCAAATATATGCTCTTATAATACAATTTTAGTATTTTTTTATGAACATTTTATTTTGAAAACAAACAATTGTTAACAATATTGTAACACTATAAAATACAATTTCAAAGATATATGTCGTTTTGTTATCACAAATCTTTTTTGTCGATCTTTTCACCATTCATTGAAAATTAAATTCCTTTCGTCAAGTTAAAGGAGATTGTAAACTATGAATGAAACTGTTTTCACAATTCCAGTTTTACTAATGTTACCATTTTTTATATTCTGCATCGTAGTATTCCACCAAACTATAGAGATGGTTATTGCTTTAATGTCTTTTTATATACCTCAATGTAAAATCATCTAAATCCCGTGAAGGTGTATTATACAAACAAACAATAAGAATTGAACTATACTTATGGCCAGTTTGGAAATGTTATGTCCAGAGTCCACAACTAAACACCACCTCCTTAGCCTGAACTTATCCATTTATTGAATAAGTCTTCAACTGAAAGTTCTGTGGATCGACGTTAATGACAGCATTCATTTAAAACCTTTTTTGTATTATATAGTATATTCCATATAAGTACTTGACGCTAAAGTTGACGAAGAAGTACCATGTTTTCTATCGTACATCGGGTTTGTAAAAGTTACATCTGGAGGTGGACCACTTGGGCTGTAAAAAAGCATGACATATTAATGTTTACGAGATAGAGACACGGACAAATGTTAATTTATGAAACATGGAGTTTGAAATTGAGTTATTACAGGTACAATTCACTAAATCTATTCACCACTAGTTTTGGTTCGGTTTGGAATTTAGCTAAAGGACAAGGTGTAAACGAGTGGTAGGTTGTTTTTAATCGAAAGTAGCATCTTTTGCGTAAATGAAATTAAAGCGTCACTCATTATATTAACACATTTTTTTTTAATCCGATATAAATGAATTATGTTTACGTAAGTTTATAATTCTTGTACACATGGATACATTATTGTTAAGCTGTTGATTTCAAATTTAAATCTAATTTGAATTTAAATTGGTCGCGTCAAAACACATAATTTACGAGCATTCATTTATTTTTTAAAGTCCTTGCTCAAGAATGTATGGACAAAACATATCCCATCGCAGTACATTTTTTCATTAATGCAAGAGAAGCATTTCTAGTGAAAACAATAACTGATTTAATTTACTATGTCGGAAACGCAATCAAATAATTCAAATGACCCATCTCTTATCTAAAGAAGAAAATGTTGCTCCTTTTGTTTGTGTTGCATATTTATATTGAAATAAACGAGGTCCTCGAATTTGTAGTTAGGTCCACAAAAAAGAAAGAGAAGGGAATGACAGAACATTACTTCCTTAGAAATTGAGAAAACATTATTATCTGTTAAAGAGGATATATGAGAACATTTTTCTCCAAAGATGTATAGAATAACAGTCAAACTGACAATTAAAATGATACCAACCTTGGTTGTGGAAGATGGATGCTTTCAGATGACCCCTTGTCTAAATTGTCGTTTAAGTGACTGAAATGACAAATATTTAGGCTATGAAACTTCTTCTTAAGAAAACAAACAACATGAATTTTACTCCGAAATAACACGATTGATTGATTGTTGCTTTCCTTGCTTAATGTCCTGTGGCAAATATTTCATGCATATTTAAGAGTTATGTGCTTTCTATTTGTATACGTTTTTGCTTTTTGTTTGTTTTAATTTCCAAAGGTGTTTCCTTGTTTCCACATATGCATGTCATATAACCTTTGATTTGACATTTTTCTTTTTTTTAATTTCTTAGTTTGTAATTCGATTACATGTGTATCTTCTTGGCGTTTTCATCGTAAAAATCTCACAAAATATCTTTTCACAAGTCGAGTTACGATGTCAATGTAAACAGTGCATGATCAAAGCATCTAAATCTTTAGTTTGCGTGCGAGAGACTCTTTCTAATAAATGTACTTAAGTGAAGGTGAAGTACGTAATTCTTAAAAACAATAAGACACATTTAAAATATTTCAATATAACTTTTTGATTGATAACTAAATGAATACATGTCGTGTCGTTGTTTACTTCCGACAGCGGCCGCCATTTTCAAAATATTGCTAACGAATGCCAAAATGTGAACTTTTCAATCAAATTTTGAAGCAAAAAGTTTGTTACCTAAACTGATTTGGTTTTCGATTTCTTTGAAATAAATGTATTGTCGACCTTTTTAGGGGTTGGGCGGTTATTATTTACAATAAATAAGTTGAGAAAATTGATTTTATAAGAAGGTCCCATTGCAATTTTATCGAGTTTTAACGAAGAAGTTAATAAAGGCTGAGTGGTTATGGCACCTCAATTTTCAAACTTAATTTGAAGAAAGAAATCATATTTCTGAACTAAACTTAGAACATATTTAATTGTAAATAAGAAAATTCTTGAAAAACGCGGGGTTGGGCGATAAAATACACAATGTAGCAAAAAAGTTATGATCGTTTTCTCTATGTAGCTCGTTCATTTTCACTGATAAAACGATCGGCCATTAATGATATACAACTGAATTGAAGTATTCATGTGATGACCGTGATAGTTTGATATGGAAAGAAAAACAATTCTCAGGTAACAATGTTAAATTGTTCATTACAAATGCATTTAATTGATAACCAGATATGTCAGTCACGTCATCAAAGCTAAATAAGAACCAACCATAAAAAGTCTGAAACATTTTATATTAATATACATACTTATCATGACGATACAAAGTTTCACTTTCTTCACTAAAAGGCAGATTACTTGTTTTACGTCGTTTTGGTACTCTGGTCCTGTGACGAAAACAAAAGTTAAATCATTATAGCCTTAAATAGTTTTAAATTTTGCCGAGCAGTCACACAAATACTAATACTAACAGTACAGATTGAATAACCCAAGGAATATTTGGTCTTATTTTCAAAACGAGATCTCAACTGTTATTCTATAGCATGTTTAACATTTTCTCATTGGATTATTGTTTATTTATTGTGATTCTATTTCTTTTATTGATAAGGTTACCAATTAAAATTTGTTTTCTGCAGCTGCATGCACTCGTCATTTGTGACCTAAGAACTAAGAATCTTATATAACAACAAAATCAATGGTATTCACGTCATGCTAAAAATATATATTCGATTACATATTACTGTGTTTGAAAGATGTGCATTTCATTATAAAATGAAATGACAACAAATGATCGTTTTGACTAATTTACAAACGATTTTTCACTTAAGATTTAGTTTAAGTTGTTACTGGTGTGAATGTTTGTCTGTGTGTGAACATTCATCGTGTTACGTTTATTTTAATTTGTTACCGGTTTGTGTATAGTACTCGTGAAAATGTCTAATGATTCTTCCCAAACAACTTTTATTATCTGTGTAAATTTTTATTGGATTATAAATGGCTAAAATATCCGCCTGGAGAGAAAAAAAGTTTTCCTTACCTATAATATCGGCAAACAACAACTAACGTTACAACCACCACTGTTACAATAAATATGAATATTATTATCATTATTATTATTGAATGCCATAGTCGAACATTCCTTGAAGTTAAATCTTTGTCCATCTGTGTAACAGCAATATTTTCTGAAAGGTAAAAGTACACTTTTACATACATGAACATATGCTCATCAGTCTAAAAATATTTAAAGATCACAATGCTATTGTTCATATATATTTTAATAACTAATTGCAGTTCTTATTAGCAGAATATATCTTTGAATGAATGTATAATCGTTTAAATGCTCACTTCTTAATGTCAAGCGGCAAATAATACACAAATTTTCAGATCAATTATGTGTAAGTGCGAAATATTTATTTTATATTTTGTTAAAAAAAACCAGTGATGCTGTATTGGATCTAATAGTACTCACAGTTACTGAAAGCTAGCTAAAACCCAATTTTTACTAATGCAACTACAGGCTCTAAAAAGAGCATGTGTCGCTCATCTGGATCTAAGTGCATATTCAACAATGGCCACTCTCTAAAATTGTAGACTATCATATAATTCATGACGTAAATATCGTTTTTTTTTGTTGATCTTGTAATCCTTATCATTTTTTATTGTTTAGTTTCTCTCTATTTGCTATAGTATCTACCAAAAACATAAATAAATTAAAAAAAAATTAATTTCCATTATGTTGACTAAATTGTAGACTTGTCTTACTGATCGTTTTTGCTATTTTAAATGTCTAACAATCTATTCAAGATTTTAAGATAATATGCAAAAACCGCAAACAATTTGTACAAAACGTCATTCACGGACAATGACTCCTTAAAGAGTCGTCTGACAATTTCTGTTTTACTTATCTGTAGATGTTGTCTTACTAATCATTTTTGCAACTTAAAGTTTCTCTCTATCTATTTTAGTTTTCAAGATAATAAGCCAACTTGATAAAAATTAAAATAACTCATATACAGAGTCGTCTGACAAATGCAGTCATGTTTAACTTATTTATGCATCTTGTCTTGCTGATCATTTGTACTAAAAAAGTGTCTCACTATCTTCATTAGTTTTCTAGATAATATAGGCGAAATGAGAAAAATGTGAAACTCGTCCTTTTAGGTCAATAACTCTTGTAAATAATTGTATAACAGTTTTGATGTAACTAGATAGTAAGTTGATCACAACATTCTGAACAATTCTGCCATTATCAGAGTGTCTCTATCTATAGCGATTTTCCAGATAATAGACAAAACTTGCAAAACTTGCATTCCTCTTTGTTCTATTCTTAGCCATGTCGACCATGCAGCAAAGATAATTGGACACATATCCAAATATGGATTGTGGCCAAATCTAGTTTCAATTCGTTCAGTAGATTCAGAGGAGATTTTATAAAGTTAACAGGCGACGACGACGACGGAAAACGGAAGATAAGTGAAGAGAATAGCTCACTGGTTAGCTAAAAACCAGACAAACATGTTAATATTTACACCTCTGTTGGGTTTTAGTGTTAAAACGCCATAAATAATCATCCCTTAGTTATGGTGTGGATTGTATCACGCCTTAAATTATTTACAACAGTAACACATCGTGTCAACAACACCATCTAACATAGACTTCATAGACATTGTCATTAAACTGCAATTTTCGGATAATATAATAACAAAAACAAAAACTACAGAACATAGTCTGCGAATGAAAAAGGTGTGATTATATACAGGCGTAAAGTTATTTTACTTTGGTGTTAAAACAGATTGCAGATTACGTAACAGACTGTCAATGCAGACGTAACTGACACATTCAGTTGTAAAAATACCAGTAATCCTCCAAAGTTTTGATATCTAAGCAAAGAACAAGACTACCGAAACGCAGTAGAGTGTCGTTCAACTTTGTAAGATAATTATTTCTTACCAGATAATCCCCTGATACTTCACAATATCATTTTTTATGATCTATACTTGTATGACACCATCGTTATCAAATGCATTGAATGTTTTGTATAATGTTGTCTGTATCAGTGAAAAACTACAGCACAGAACATACAATGAATTTTGTTTGAAAAATAGATTAAATGACGTATATATAGACACAAACGACATATCAGAGACTCCAGAATAAAAAAAAATATTCGAAGCCAAATTAACTGCGAAGTTAAAGCATGTACTTATGATCTTAAAATATAATATCAAGTAAGAATTTGCTGTACTGGATACTAATTACACATAAGTGTCTTTACAAACAACATTATATCGCTGGGTCTGTCTTATACTCCAGGAAACCTCTTTCCAAATTCTTAATATTTATTTAGCAGCAAACAAACCGGGATTTAGAATTACTGTGAAACGTCCTATGCAAGTGGCAGTGTGAATGAGATGTGTATACTTACAAAAATCCACAGAACTGTTTTGCAAACTTCTTTAATTTCACTTTCAGATATATTGATTATGTCATGTCACTCAATAATCAACATTTCAGTGAATGGTTGCATCTCCTTTATCCAAGTGAACTTGAAATTAAGGATCCTACCGAGCATGGTAGATCTGCTTCATATCTGTATCTTTTCCTTGATATTTACCCAGATGGACGACTTAAAGCTGGAATCTATGACAAACATAATGAGGTCATCTTCCGAATTGTCAACTTAAAATTTCTCTGCTCCATCGTACGTTTTGTCCATATCTTAATTGATACGCTCGTGAATTTTTACACTACACTTCATTAATAGATGTATGGTCCTTAACAAATGTGCTCTATCAGAGTTATGAGGATGAAAGACTGAAAACAAAACTACGTAGGATTTTTACGGTCATCATCATAAATTGGTTGACTGTTATGATTTGTCTATGTCTTATATACCAGCGACATGTTCTCGCTATCTTGATCATTAAGTAGAATAATCAGTAATTTTACCAATTGTGACATTTTGACTGGGTGTGTATTCGTATGACGGGTGATGCATGATTAGCATGAAAGGTTTACCCTGTGGACGAACCCGGTGTCTCTCCTTTTGGTGTTAATTCGATTCCCTCCGTTTTTTGTTTGTTAATTTGATTTGACTTCTTAATCGATTAATGAGATGAGTAATTTAATGTTGAATATATAAAAAATTACAAAGAGATAAAAATAAATTCAATTTTGTTGCATAAAAAGAGTGGCCGTGACCAACATAGATACACTTATCTTGTTTAGTTAAGAATGAATCATACTTTGTTAAAACACTATGATTCAAGTAAACGGTTTTCTGAAAAGAACATCATCAAGATGCTTGATTTGTTTTATTGGCTACATATTTGTTACGTTTAGAGGATGTGTTTTTCAACAAACAATCGACATTCCTATTAAAAACTAATTGTGCCCTTCTTCCTGTGACTGTTCCTTTATTCACATAAGACATTAAACATGAGTTTCTAAGGCAAAATGGAAAGAAATTATCCTTGAACTTCACGTTCTTCCTTATAAGTGATGTCCTCTCACCGAATAGTACAAAACATGATAACTATGTTGTACGCATCTATTGCACCGAAATTGAGATAAAAGATACGACATTGAAAGATAAATTACCTTATATCTTGAAATTGACAATGAGTGACTGTTTACGACAAAAGAGATAATTTCAGCTTTCATATTTTGGAATTTTCCATTTCTATATTTTAAAGCTCCAACAGTATGTTTGTATATGTAGTATGTATCTTCCTATTGTGACTATATTCCAGAACTTACGTTTCCAATCATGATTTCCTTGAAAGAGGGTTGCTGCTCTCAAGATAGCTTTTGAGCCAAATAATAAAGTTTAAGTCATCACTTAAAATGTTTTAAGGACGTAACCTTTAAGATGACCGTTATGGAAAAGTTGATGGCACAAACCTGTCTTCCTTTCCTCGATTATGACATTACCGAATGATAGAATGAAATGCTGTACTGAGGTGCACATTTTCGCTACATTTTCTTGAAAAAATAAAGTTATTAAATACTGTCAAAGTAACCCTCTCGCTTTCGTTGATTTGCAAAAACCATGGTATACCTTGTTGAAGAATTGCCAAGACAAGAAGGGCATTCCATTGTGAGGAATATTAAACTATCTTTTTTTGAAGTACTAGTTATGCATTTCGACAATATCTCTCCAAAGTTATGTTAACGTATAATACCGATTCAAGTTTACGTGCCATTTGTTCCTCGATCAACTGTTATCATTTACGCTCGGGATCAAAATGTCGGGAAGCAAGTAAAATTTTGTGAGATTATCACACAAAAGAACCTTTATAGATTAGATCTTTAACGGGCAACTTTGAGGGATTTGCAACCGTATTTTTGGAGCATTATACTTCAGCAAAGATTTTCAGTCAATTCGTATCATTCAAATCAAGCAAATACCGAAGCACTCGCTACAAGGTAGATATAATCCTAGCAAGCTGACGTAGTTATGTGAACTCACAATACAAATAATCGAAGTGAAAATGGAAATCCTAAATATTGAACACTGGAAAGGTGAAATAACTAACATATAGATCGACAAATGGTAACCGAAACATAGCAATGCAATTTTAAATGAATTTGTTATACTGCTATTATCACTGAAAATGTCAAAGGAAAACAATTCTGATGTACATGCTCATATAAAGACTGAGATACTGTTGAATGAATTTAAACAGACCTGATTCTGTTGTTTGATCCAACATCTGTGACTGTTGTGATTTGTCTACAGGAGAATTATTATGTCTTGGTTCTACAAACATAGCTATCAATGATAGATGTGAGGCATTAAATGGGAAAATTTTTGCCACTGTTTCAGTTGTAATAGTTGCGCTTGTAGTTTGTTCTTTTGTCATTTTTTCTGTTGAAGTAGTGGTTGTATCTTCAGCTGTTGTTGATTCCATTGTAGAAGTTGGTGGATAAAAGAACTTATAAACCGCATGAAAACCCCTTTCTTGTACTCTGTCGTCAGATATAAACGTCACGAATAACACATTTAGTGATGACCTATATGCATGTATTCTTTTTTTTCCACAAAGTGATGCTAGCCTAGAAGAATTCTTTGTTGAACCGTCAAAAACCTCTACGCGATCATATGCAGAAGTACAGTTCTTTTTATATGCCCTTCTAATTCTATAGACGTGAAACTGAGATATATTGTACATCCATTAGGAGCTCTTATAGTCCATTCACATAATGATAATGATGGATATTGATATGGCCATCTAGGAGATGCAAATTCGCCATTATCGTCTGTTAGTACAGCACCACATGCCCAATCTATAAAAAAATATTTAAAAACGATTCTTTCTTCTTTTTTTAATTTAAACATTATGTTACTTTCGAAAAATATCGTATTTGTGAAATGTGCAAGTTTTGCACACATTTATTATTCATATATTAATATAATTTGTCAGAAAACTAAGATGAATTTAAAGCTTTTAGTCAAATGATTGATGGGCCTCGATGACCGAGTGGTCTTACTAATTCAACTAGTCCACTAGCCTGTCAGCACGGATGTTGTGAGTGCGAGCCCCGCACTTGGGATGTGAGTTCAACTCTAATCTTAACTAACTTGGATTGGTTGTTTTCCTGTCGAAGGTCGTTGATTCTCTCCGAGCACTCCGGCTTCCTCGACCAAAAAAAACTGGCCGCCACAAAATAGTCAATAGTGCTTAAAGTGGCATGAAACACCCAAAACCAATCAATCAAATGATTGAAGGATCCGTGGTGTAAAAAAAGCTTACAGAAAACCCGTATAAGTAAAGCATGTAAAGATAAGCTAAGATACTGATAAAGAATACTTGTACTTACCCTCCTGATAAAACAATTTAAAGCCAGGAGCATCAAATTTGGAATTGCTTTGGAAAGTGAGGCTGATACTATACGTTTTACTGGTATACGTGTCTACATCGTGTTGTACACAAAGGGTGTCGTTCTGGTGTTGGTACTCCTCTGTTATGATTAATCTATCATTTACCAAATCACATGGAAATTCTGTACACTGTATACTTTCCGAGGTTAAATTGGATGATGGTAAGTCGTATGACCTATAAAATATAGTATGGCATACTCTATTATTTTACAAATAGTAATACCTTATACCGACTCTTGCTAGTCTTGTGACATCTCTTTACATCCATATGCATGTATTTATACATCCTTTCAAATAGTTTGATTGTAGCGTTCTTGAAGCATAACATTGGAAGCATAACATTTATAAGACGTTATTTCTAGTTTGTTTAAGACAATCCTCATTGAAATAAATGAGCGATTGACTTTTAATTTTAGAATTAAGGTAGAGGATTGCACCAGATTCTTTAGTGTACAAAACCTTTCCATGATATATCAGACATTTCAGTTCTACTTAACATTAAACATTTATCCCATATATTCCCAATAAGACAATTGATGCATTATGAACTCTTCTCACAAATTATGTCATTCATAGTGCGAAAACAACAAAAAAGGAGAATCACGGGGACATCATTCGGGCATTGTAGAAAATAAGTTGGTAAGATTTATAAAAATAATCAATATGTTAGGATATTAAGGTTATAGCAGACTATAGTTAAGAAATCATATTATATTTTTTTTTATATTTGTGACTTATAAGGTAAGCTAAGTATACATGTATTGCTGGGATGTCTTATGTTCTGTAGAATATGAAACTGTATATCAGTTTTCATATCAAATAGTATTTTATGGCAATTCAATAAAAAATATAAACGAACAAAGTACATCTCCGTGTTGATAGTTGACAAATTGATGAAAATAGTTACTAATTACGAAGTTAGAACTTGAACTGTAAAAACGAATTACTGGAGAATTTCAATTATTTATCATCTTGATGATGGTGTGTTATATTATTATTTTACACCATGACTTGAAATCTTTCTATCATCATTTGCTTATACAAATTGTTTTATTTTATAATTGGTGACATTTATCGGTTACTGTGTACTGCTTACCCTGTTGATGCGCCAGGTCTCATCGCGTTTGAAGTTCATCGAATTGCATTGTTTTCATTCCCATGTTAAAAAGAAGATCAGAGTTCCAATGTCCCCCGCGTTGCACATATTTTATATATCCAAGGTAAAAGGGCAATAACTGAATAAAACGCTGTTTTTTTGTAGCGCTATCGAGGCCATTTTCCATAAATTTAGTATTTCCAAGGGCATAACTCTTTTAAAAAAAGTCGATCGTCCACAATTATAGAACTTGTCCGAGATATTGCTGATATTAACCTATAATATAAGTTTTATAAAAATCTGGCAAGAATTGTACCCGTGAGAGCGCTAAAGAGGCCATTTTCCATAAATTTAATATTTCCAAGGGGCATTACTCTTTTTAAAATAGTCGATCGGCCATAATTATATTTCTTGTCCGAGATATTGCTGATATTAACCTATAGTATAAGTTTTATAAAAATCTGGCAAAAATTGTACCTGTGAGAGCGCTAACAAGACCGGACGGACGGACACACGGACGGTCACACGGACACACGGACGGACGCCCGGTATTTCCATGTCCCCCGCAACGCGTTACGCGGGGGACAAACATGAATTTATGTTTTGTTGACTAACAAATGTATACATTTTTATAGTGTTATTTTCAGTTCATAATTTCAAAGAGCCAATCAGTTTCAAACAGTAGAACGCCAATAAAACCGTATCATTTGACACAGGGTCCATACCTTAAACTTTGATACTGTTATATTCCATGTACATCTCATATTATGTGGATATTTCCTTGTCCAGTTCGGACTAGCTCTATTTCCGGTTGATGTTGTTAATATTTCTCCGCAGTCTGAAAGAACAGAAATGCAATAAATATAAGTAGCATAGAATATTTCGAAATATTTGTTACATATTTAATGTACCTTTAAACGTATTTTTTAATCATACTGTTAGTAAATGTATTAGATATGATTACATCTAACGGGAAATTCACGTCTACAGCCGCTACAAAATATTCATTTTTTTTTTCAAAATCTTTCTACAATAAATAAAAAAAAAAAACATTATCAATCTGGCGCGTTCGAAGAGATTTTCTATATTTACCTTCATCAGCAACAGTGACGCTACAAAAATAGAGCAAATGATGTAAAAACTTTAGGAGCCATATATCCAGAAGGCATATGAAAAGAGCAGACAAAACAATCTAACATCAGACCTGCCTAAGGAATTTAGAAACTTTTTTTAGGAAGTTTCTTAACCATTAAAAAATTATCAACGGTAAATTTATGAAATATACATTATGAGTGGGGATTAGTGTGTATGCATTCATCTATATTGTTTTGAGTTGTGTGGGTATTGACTGCAGCTGTTGAGATATGCGTTAGCGTTTTTATCTTTTTTTAAATTTACGGCTTGTGTCGGTTCTTTAATTTCATAGATCTATTGTAGTTTTATTTTTCCGTTAAACCAAGTCGTTATATTTTTTTGGTCTTTATAATCGAGCTATTTCTTGGGATTCATTCTTACCTTCTGCGTGATTTGTAAAACCAGTTTCACTATGACCAGTAACCTTGATAATATTATTATCAATAACAATCATTCTTACCCAAGTAAGGTTTCATTTCTAAATGGTGTACCTGTGCATGACCATGTGTAGTTAAAATACCTACATCACTTCCTTGGTAATGCTGAAGTGAGGCGCATTTCTATGCATGTTTTTATGCGACACATATAATAATCAAGTGGGCAAAGAGGGAAAGGGGGGAGGGTGAGGGGATGTGTGTGTGTGGGGGGGGGGGGGGGGTCGTACACACATAGCACGAGTTTAATCATTTTTAGTACAGATTTTTTATACAATAATTACAATAATTACTATTCATTTTATTTTTTAGCAGGGAACGAATTTTAGCAACCTATGTACTGCGATTGATGTTAAAACAGGCAATAAGTATTTCATAAGTGCAACTGTGATCATGCACTTGTAGTTTCATTCATAACCGAAATATAAATATTCATCCGATTTTTGCATTTTATGTTGAAATTGTCATTTTTACACTTGTATCGTCATTTCATTTTTTTTTTTTATTCTACATATTAATGTAGCATTGGTGGAATAGGGCGGGTAATTTTTGAACTTTATGTAAAAATAGACAATACAGGATATGGTGTATCAATTCATGCACATAAAAACAATAACATATGAACAGAGCATTTTTTGTTTTTCTTCATCTCAAAATCACAGTGAGGCCAAAAAAAGACAAGAATACAAAAAATTAAAATAGCACAATAACACAATGGTGGGATGTATAAATACCGAACCACGCCAAAAGGATATTACCAAAAATGGACTAAAAATATACAAAGACAAATAAAAGGAACACTTATAACACGCAATTAAGATGATAAACAACGTCAGTACCTAGAATCAATACTTCAAGACAATCATGTATTAGTTGTGAAGTTGGTACGGAATATTTATCAACAATGTCTTGGTATCTTCCGATGAACTTTATTTTTAGAAAAAGGACGAGACGTTCTTTGACTTTCTGCTCAGACACTGGTGACGTTTTATAAAGTCTGAGTAGCAGCTGAAAACCCTTGAATACCGAATGAATTGGGAAATGTATATCCCATATGCAGATGAAGTTGGTAAATTGCTGCTAAGGTGTCAGAAATTTATAATTTCAAAATAAAAATCGTCTCGTTTTTCATATATTCTGGTACTAAGATGACCGCTTATGTCAAATTCGAGGTATAAGTATAAAATTGAGACGGAGGAAACCGTGTCTGTTGTTTCTTTAATTTATAGTTATAGAGGATATATTAATGGAACCCAATCAGAAAAGTTTTGATTCTTAATGGAAAGAACATCATCAATATGTCTAATGTGAAATTAATTGAACGGGCTTATTTGATCTTCTTGTTTTTGACAAGTGTCTGATGGAACTCCGACTCATATGAAAACAAGAAGAGGTCAACAAGGAGAAGCGCACAAAGAGTGAATTTTGTCCAATTGAAAAGCAAATTAATTTGCTGTGACAAACTCAATGGAAATTTTCAGATTAGCCTGATCAAATGCTACTGGGTTAAGGACAACAACATACTGAAAAAGCAAATACAGTGTTATTAACTTTTTATATCTGAACGATGAGATATGTATGAGGGTCTGGGTGGGGTTTCCAGAATACAGAATAGTGGCAAAAAATAATAAATATAAAAATAAGCAAAAGAAAGAGAAAAAGAATGGAGAATAATGGGGCGCAAAAGTATAAAGAATAACCTTGAAAAATAAAAGAATAAGGTCATATGATACTAATTACAGAAATGAACAATGTGCAGAATACAAAAATCATATAATTACAGAAATACAGATAAATTTAATAGTAAAATAACTGTCACCAGAATTTTACAGAATAAACGTTATTTGTTAGGATAAATAATAATGCCCCAAAATTAAGGAATACAGAAAAGAAGAATCCCCCATCCTGACCTTCATGTATGACCATGGAGAAAACCCTGACTTGAGTATTCTTATTGTGCTACGAATAGAGTAATAATAAGAATTGTTTCGTGTTATAATGGTCGTCGATGGACAACCGACCATTTAAGGTAAATTCTTCTTATTCTATTACCAGAATACATTCGGATGCTCGGTTAAAGTTTCATCTTTCAACTGGATACCTACGCTTCACAAAAAATCTAATAAAGAACGATATCTAGCCGGGTCGTCTATATGTCGACCAAGCATCTTTCTAAAGTTCTTTCCACCATTGGTTCTACAGTAAAAGATGGCATTCAGAATTATCATCATGAGGTTTATTCATATGTCTTGTCAATCAGGTGTGTATTCTTAATACTCCAAAATCGTCAATTGCAATCTTTACAATTTTGCACTTATATCAAAACCTTTGCTTTTTCTTCACTACAATTACCTATTCTCCTATTCTCAATTAAAAGAACGACTACATTGTCTCATTAAAGAGAGCATTTTCTTCAACAAATTGGAAACATAGATACAAATGTTTTGTTTAAGGTCATGAAAAATCTTAAATTTGTGAAGAACCCCACTAAATCCCACAAACATTACATCGACACTATCATCTACATGCCAGACTTTTTTAATCGACAACATATTTGTTGAGTTTGGTAAATTGATATGTCTGCAAACAGTCGGTATTCCAATGGTTACTTATTGGGCACAACTACGGGAGGATTTATTTTTGTATTCATATGAAGCAGAACTCAAACAGATCCTTCTCAAAGACAAATAATCTATAATGTCACTGTTAGATACATTGGTAATGTTGTTCTGTCACTAAAAAACCCAAATTGCAATGAGTGCTTACATCTGATATTTCCCAACGAACTTGAGATTAAGGATACTACCAAAGGTAGAAGTCTTATTCATATCTTTATCTTTTTTCCGATGTCGATAACGATTGACGACTTCATAGAATTTGAATCTATGAAATACGTGATGATTTCAACTTTCCGATTGTCAATATCCCATTTCTCAGCAGTATAATATATCCTCTGCTCCATCGTATGGCATTTACATATCTTACGTTTCGCTCGTACATGTTCACACTATACGGACATCATTAATAGGAGTGTGCTCGTACAGAGTTAGATTGATATACATTTATTATGAAGCAGACAGTTATCGTCGATGTGATCATGCATTTAGTGCCCAATATAAACACCCACGATGGTTAGAGTTGGTATCTAGCCATGGTTTGTGTTTTGAAGAGTCATAACTGTATGATGACTTTTGAGGTGGGATGTGTGAGGAAATTGCTCCCCTTGAGTAGTATATTCTTAACCAGTCGTTATCGGCTGAGCTAGGGAAGGACTTCTTCAACGCTGACGGCTAGAGTGCAAATTTCGGACATACATTTCTATGAAGCTGACATCATTTGATTGTCAACATATTTATTACGTTTAGTGGACATATTTTTCAACAAATAATCCGCCTTCCTATGGGAAACAGTTGGGTTCCTCTACTTGGCAACTTGTTACTTTATTTATTTGAAACAAACTACTTACCGATGCTTCGCAGGAAGAATGAAACGAAGCTAGCATTATCATTTAAATTCACGTTCGCCATATAGATGATGTCCTCCCGCTAAATAATTCAAAGGTTGATGACTATGTGAACTAATCTATCCCAGTGAACTTGAAAATAAGGATACCAAAGATACCGATAAGTCTGCCTCATAACTTAACTTACATCTAAACATTGACAATGAGGATCGGTTGACAAAAAAACTTTTACAACAACAGAGATGATTTTAGTTTCTCAATTCACCTTCCATGTTCATGTCTATATAACAACATTACAGTAGAGCTCACATTGAGTATATCTCCCAGTTGACACAATATTCCAGAGATTGAGTTTCCTATCATGATTTTCGTGTTAGGTGGATTGCAAACTATTGAACCAAAAGTTCCATGTCTTAAAGGTGAAATCATCCCTTCGATGTAATGTAGTTTCTTATTTTGTTGTAGTTCTGAAAGATAAAGTATTTCAGTAAGTTACTTGTGCCGATTTTGGATCGGAGAACGAGCTATGTGTTCCTATGAAGGAAGTTGTAATTTATCCGAAAAATAACTATATGGTCTAAATACTCATTGGTCCAACCCTTTAATAACCAAAAGGGTATATAACCATATGATCCAAACACTCATATGGTCTGGAACATATATATTAAATACAATACTCCGGTGTCATAAAACGGACAAATAGGACAAAACTCATCTGCCACTTTCTTCCTATAATCTTAATCACTACACTCTATTTAAAAACTTTCAATCAGCTTTAATACGTCTACCCGTTTTATAACGTGCTGCTTACAGATCATATTACACAGGAAGACATGTCATCCTACAATGAATCAGCCACATCGATACCAGAGAAGAAGCATTCACTTTTTTTTTTAAAGTTTTTAGCTCAACCCGGACGGGGATCATACCCAAGACCTACCACACTCCATCCGAGCATGACACCACGACACCACCAACGCAATAAATTATGAAAGTCCTTTTTTGAATCAACACTTAACACCTACTCTTTTACATTATCAAATGATCAGACAGACTACGAGAAACTTCAACAACAAACTGTAAAGTTTGACATAGCAGATGGAAATGTGATTTCAGTTTTTCATCCAACCCCCAGCTGACTATGGGGTTTTCTCATTTATGAAGATCGTACGGTGACCTTTAGTTGCTTGCATCCATTTCATTTGAACCCTGGTGGTTAGTTGCCTCATTGGCAATCATACCACATCTCCTTATTTTCATATCACTCAAGCCTTTCAAATTTAAACGAATTAAATTCCTCCGAACGGACCGGCTTATTTTTAACAGTCATTGCTAATTGTTCCCACGAGGATCTAAAAAGAGCAATAGATTTTTCATGTTTTACCTTGCAGTCTACTACAAATTTGGTATGCTCTTTTCTTCTATCAACAAACAGTCTTGCCCCTTGCAAACCCTCCCATTTAGATTGTTAAAGATTTTTGAGTGTATACATTGTACTTAAAATTGATGTTCATAAATAACATTAGGTTTTCCAAAATAAAGAAAAAAAGTATTTTTCTTTATATTCAAATAGAAAGTACTTTTGTTATTGTAGATTATGTAATTTTGCGTTATAAATCATATTGTATCATGACAAAGCATATATGTTATATCTTCCGTATGTGACAAAACAATCCTACAACTTTGTCCAAAAACACTTATTAAAAAAGGGCAAATGCGACTGAAGCAAACTGCCCCAGACCTGAAGACGGAGAAATGAGTGCAAACGATATTGAATCTATTGAAGGATCGTCAACCGATACTCATGATGATGGGGCAGAAATTTTTGAAAGCCGCCAGGATGACAATGCCAAAGAAAAAGGCGACGGGCAGCCTGAAAATGATGATACTGGTGTTAACACTAGAATAAAGTTCTTTAATTCCATATCCGTGCAACCTCAAAAAGACTTCGAGCCGCCTCAGGAACAATCCGTACAATCACAAGACCAAACCGGGTGTCCTCAGGAACAATCCGGACAATCTCAAGATCAATCCGAGCCGCCTCAAAAACAATCCGGGCAATCTCAAGATCAATCCGAGCCGCCTCAGGAACAATCCGGGCAATCTCAAGATCAATCACAGCCGCCTCAGGAATAAACCGGGCAATCTCAAGATCAATCAGAGCCGCCTCTGGAACAATCCGGGAAATCTCAAGCTCAATCAGTGTCGCCTCAGGAACAAACCGGGCAATCTCAAGATCTATCCGGGCAATCTCCGGAAAATGTACCGTTAATCAACATATCACAAAACAACGAGGAGCAAGAAACCGTAGAAATAGAGATACGAAATGATGTACGATATACAAAACTGTGCAATTCTGTAAGGACAATTATGATAATAAATATCATTTTGAGCGTGGTAATATTTATTTTAACTGCAGCATTGATCGCCGTAATTGTGCATTATACATCAAAGGTAGGACACAGTTTATTTTAATCATTTCTCTGTCTGTTTCTCTTTCTTTTTCTCTCTGTAATTGTTAACACATGAATGTAAAAGTTTAAACTGATATACAGGAATACTTTTTTTTTTAATAAACTTGTCAAATGTATTAATTCTATCTGTCGTATTTACGACACTAACAAGGAACCATTAAAAAAGAGAATAAAGGAAAACATCTTGAATGTCTGTTTTCGTTTTCATCTGAAGAAATTCATATAAATGCCATTGCAAGCAATTATATATTACCATGTATATTAACCTTTCCAACTTTCAAAATATTTACACAGTGAAGAAATTTCGATGACCCCACATATTTACAACTACTGTCGTTTTTTTGTTTGTTCGAGATTCAATGAAAGTTAGATTTCCAAAAAATTATGCATTTTTAAAAATCTTAGTGACCCATTTACTATTGATAGGAATTTATATATATATTTATATGTCTACCAAAGGTAAAAAAGCTATTCTGACCTGTACGGTTATTTTCAAATAATTACATTAGACAGAAGCGTAATTTGATTGGCTGAGACATTGCAGAAGTTAAATTTTATTTCCGCATTCAATGCAATAGGCCATAGACCACAATTAAGTTCTCCTATTTGTTCTTTAATATTACGTTTTGTCATAGTAACAATATCCCACCAGTGGTTTGTAAATTTTTTTAGTATGTGCAAAGTTCCGTACAAGTCCCAAAATACATCCAAAATTTAGAAAAATGACACTGACCTAGTTGACAAATTAAGCCAATACACATCCCTACTGGTATGAACAAGTCAAGAGATGTTCTGTAAATATTACCTTTTTGCACCTGGCCAAATCACTCCTTACATCCACTGAACAATTAAAATAACACATCCAAAAGTTTATTTCAACTCTCTTCTTTCATTTCCACCCCATAAAATCTTAGAAATTAATGAGAAAAGGAAAGAAAAAAATTAAGAAAAATTACACTATAATTAAAATGAAGGCTGGATTTAACACGTGATTTCATGGTTCTAGCATAACAAATGTAATTGAATAGGATTGTTAAAACGTTGTAAGTGCATACATTTTTAGTGTGGTTCGGTCAACGCTTTTACATTCCAATAAAATGACAAAAAGAAGCATTCAATTCCTAAGTACTTTCATGTATTGTAAGACTTTAATATCGCTGCACTTCTAATTACATACATGCGTCCATCTATTCACTATATATTTAGAATTTTGAACTTTGACAATTATGACACTCTCTTATAATCCCCGAATTGCACATTTATTGACAGAAAATTTTATTTCAAGGGTTCAAAATACTGGTTTGATTGGATTGCTACATAAATTTGAACTATTATTTATGGCAAGCCGTTTTCGTATTTATTCTAACTTCCGGATAACTTATATAAATTATAAGAAATCTCATATAATATATAAGATATTTCGTATAATATAAATGATATCTCATATTATATAAGATATCTCATATAATTTAAAGATATATCATATAATTTAAAGATATCCCATATAATGTATAAGATATCTTATATAATCTAGTTTTTATAAGATATCTTATAAAGTATATAAGATAACTAATATAATATAGTTTTTATAAGATATCTTATAAAGTATATAAGATATCTCATATAATCTAGTTTTTATAAAATATCTTATAAAATATATAAGATATCTTATAAAGTTTATAAGCTATCTTATAAAGTTTATAAGATAGCTGATTAATATTTTTTATAATAGATGTCTGATATACTTTATAAGATATATCATATATTTTATAAGATATTTCATATAATTTATAAGATATCTTATAAATAAAATTATATAAGATATCTTATACATTATATGAGACATCTTATAAACTATATAAGATATCTTATATAATATATAAGCTATATTATATAATATATCAGATATCTTATATGATATATAATATATCTCATATAATATACAATATATCTTCTATAATCTAGTTTTTAGAAAATATCTTAAATAATCTAGTTTTTATAAAATATCTTATATACTTTATAAGATATCTGATAAATATTTTTTTACATAAGATGTCTCATATATTTTCAAAAATGTCCTATATAGTTTATAAGATATCTCATATAGTTTATAAGATATCTCATATAATTTATAAGATATGTTATAAAGAAAACTTTATGAGATATCTTATGAGTTATATGAGGTATCTTATAAACAATATAAGATATCTTATAAACCGTACAAGATTTCTTATAAACTATATAAGATATCTTATAAACTATGTAAGATATCTTATAAACTATATAAGATATATTATAATCTATATGAGATATCTTATAAAGTGTATTATATATCTGGATGTTAGAATAAATAGTAAAACGGCTTGCCATAATTATTGCTTATTTTCACCTTAATAAATGTGCTACAATTTATTGTGGATTACCATTTCGAAAACCAAATTTATAATAGAAATCTGTTTGCAGTAACTGTGACCTTGACCTTTGATGTTATTAACCCCCCGAATCAGCTTCCTCCCCATCGATATATCTTTTATTTGTATAAATTGCATTACAATAAAGCAAGGGAAACCCAAATTACCATCCCACAATCATTTTTACATTTTGTTCTTCTTTTAGTTACAGTGACATTGACCTTTGGCCTATTGACCCCAAAATCAACAGGCTTCCGTCTTTTGAAATTTCATACCAGTCATCCAAAGGAAATCTATTTTTAGTTACCAATAACCTTGGACTTCGATCTATTGATTTCAAAATCAAAAGGCTATTTTCCCTTTCCTATATCTTCCATCTGTATAAGTTTTCATCCAAACAAGCAAAAGAAACACAAACATTAAACAATTTTCAAAAAAAAAGTATCTATCATTAGTTATAGTGACCTTTTCCTTGACAAAAAAGTCAATCGGATTTCCACCTTCCGTATATTTGCCCTTTGTATAAGTTGCCCTACCAATCAAGTTACCATCCGGAAATCATTTTTCCACAAAAAAGTCTATTTTTAGTAATAGTGAACTTGGCCTTTGACCTACTGGCCCAGAACCCAAAAGTCCATTTTCCCTTCCCTATATCTGCAATCCGTATAAGTAATATCAAGCAATGGATACTCAAGTGATCATCCGATTATAATTGGGACGGAAGCACAAAACGATTAAGATATGCTTCTGAAAATTTTTTGGAGTACGTATTGCAGACCCATAACTTTTTTTGATTGAAGCAGAGTAAAGTGACCAGATTTTCAAACTTATTTTTTTTTGTCGATAAGCATTATAGTGTTGTTGCCACAGGTACCTAATTGTATCTGAAAAAAATACCTATATACCTTTTTATAACACAAGGTACGTACCAATCTTGCATTTTTAGAAATGTCATTCGGCGCAAAATTTAGCTATATTTCAATTCCGCAAAAACATGTTTGTCGTAAATCTGCATCTTCAAAATGGTGTATGACCCGCCTATCTTTGTTGCCGGAATCGATCGTAGCAGGCCATCCAAGTAGGTCAACCGTAAATAATTTCTTCTTCTCACTCTCGATATTTACATGAAGATATAACAAGATATAAGGCAAAAAGATCCCAATGCTGTAAATTATGCACATTATATATTTAACTTTTCCGGTTGGTGCAATAAATTTTATCAAGTTAAATATTTCATCACTTGAAAACATAGTATATTTAACTATTATAGCGCGCTGTAGACCGTCGCAAAAAAACACCCAACAAATGCGTACCTTATGCACAACTACAACCACTAGACACATTACCCCGGCCATAAGGAATCATAAGGCGTTATGTAAATGTTATTGAGATAAAAGTTCAATAGTTTAAGAGAAGAAAGATATCACTAAAGGACAATACGGAAGGAGACAAATATTTTTTATTACATGTATCAACACAATATGTAACTACATTGCAGCTTGGAAGGGGGATTTTCATAATCCAGACAAAATATAAAAACATCTAATATTTGAGAATTTGTTTTTAATACATCAATATATGTGAATTCATTTTTGCGGTTATTATATAATTTTGCAAATTAAAATATGAAAGCAAATGTTTACTCAATAAATATTAGATTTGAATTGCATTACTTTTTTAGCAACAAGAAATTGGCAAGGAAAAACAGCTTATTGGTCCTCAAAATGATCGTAAGTATTGATTATGAATATAACTTCACATAAGGTTTCTGATAAAAGCTTGTTGTCATTGTTTTTACATCAGATAAACAGAATAAAAGAAGCAAAAAGAATGATATATTTCAATTGACATACATAACTTATACTAAGTATACTATTCTTCTTCATACTCTTTTCGAATTGATTAACTTTAAAAATATTCAGTTTTGGAATTGGTCTTTTTATGTCTGTAACTGCTGGTTTCTTGGGTTTTGCTATAACAATTTGTAAAATAACTTGGTGTTCTCATTTGACCTATTGCATTACTAACCACTTTATTTTTATCTATCTAGAAACAATCACACGTTGTAGGGCAAGGACAAAATTACTCCAGTAGTTTCTGTTTAGTGTTCCAATTATACGAGATATAACCCTACCTTTTATCGATATAATCATACCCCATGGAACAAATTTGTGGAGAGTATAATGATGCGTCCGTCCGTCATCACTTTGTTGTAGCAATATTTAAATGTAAACCTATTGCTCATATCTAAATGTACCAAAACCTATGTAAAATGGCAATTTGTGGTCAAATATGTCAACTATTACGTGTTAATGGCTTTACAGAGCAATTCTAAAAATCAGAAGGTGACAAGCTGATAAATTAAATCATCCAATAGTCTAATAGCCTAGTAAAAAGTCAGTGTCCTCTTTCATTTTCACTTTTTAAAAAAATTGCTTTTGACAAAATAAAGGAAGGGGGATATATTTTGCCAAATCAGAACGAAACAAAACACAGTTTTGCCCCTTTTGCGCCTCTTACCAACCGACTTCAACACCCTTATTTATTCTGACGGATTGAAGAATTATAATACATGTGATTTCCGGGCTAGGTAATGGCTCTTCAGTGAAGTCTAGTGACAAAATATTACCTCACCTGTAAACGCTTGAAATTGATCATTTCAATGTTGTCCCGTTTCAACAAGGACGCTATCAATTATAAATTTATGAGAAAACATTCAAGTAAAAAGTAAAAATAAAACGAATCGAAATAAAAAAAAAATCAATTTAATAGTTTCATTTCCTTCCTTAAATATCAAACGACGAGTACAGGATGCTTTATATAGGCGCTTTGTGTAAAATAAGTTTAAAATGTTGCTGTGCGAATAAATTCCTAGAGTACCAACTTTTTTCTACTGGCTGTATACGTCTTTGGAACATGCCAATTATTCGTATAAGTATGCAGCTAAATCAGATAAGTTCAGGGGGGAAATCCAATTAAAGAAACCGATTTATATCCAACAAAGATTAACACTTTTGATTTTAAGTTAAGAAAATTCAAACGAACCTTATCCCGATGTAAGCATTGAATGTAAATAGATCGAGTCGCCTCGATTTCTATACATGTATTTCCGGTCTTCTCGATCTATTTACATTCAATAGATCGAGAAGATCGAGATTTCTATACATGTATTTCCAGTTTTCTCGATCTATTGAATGTAAATAGATCGAGAAGACCGGAAATACATGTATAGAAATCGAGGCGACTTATTCTTGAAATTGTTTGAAAAAATAGTATAAATCTTTTAACTGATAACATACTTTATAAAAATATTTATCTTTAATTTTACGCAGACACGACTTTTAAATTGTTATACTCACAAAAAGACAATACTTCTATATTCATTTTGAATGTTCAAATGACAAGAGCAGACCAGTATACTCCAAAACTTAGACGCAAAAAAATATGTATATTTTGGGAAATTGTAACATGCTAAGGACTATGTAGAACACGCCAAAAATAAGTCACCTGAAAGATCTTTAGATTTTGTATGTATATGAATTTTCCCATTTTTTTATCAATATGCAGCAAAGATTAATATTTTTTAGATTTCAGTTTCACAAGCTTTTAATGCAATCATCTCGATAAATAATGAACATAAAACATCGTGTATTTGCATGTATATTTCTAATAACAGTTTAACATATAATTTCTTTAAAATGTACGATTGTTGTTTAGACATATCTTTTGATCAGTTATGTTTTGAATTGATTATGTCGATTTTTTCATAAGAAGAGTGAATTTTCTATTGTTCTCGGTCATCGGTTTTGCAATATTTGATGACGAAGAATGCAATGCATGGATAGCATGATATGTGTTATGGTTCCATATTTTTCTTTGCATGTTATTCTCGTTTCAGCATTTTTCACGATAGCATTCCCCCAAAAAGGATCTACTGTGACTACAAAGTTCTTCCTGCCATTTAAAGCGACATATTCAATTCACACAACTTTCGAGAAGGAAAACAAAGATAGAAATGTTACCGATATATGTTCTGGAGACATAAAATACCATTACAAACTATATTGTGATAAAGATCACAGAACGTGTGAAGATACTGTTTGTAGTTACAAATGTACAAAGTTCGATATAAGTCTTTCTGAAATGCAATTGGTCTTACTTGATCTGGATGACAGTTGTCTCGCTTTGAACGGCAGAATTGAAATATGGAATTCAACAATAAAAGTTATCAGATAAACGTTAAAATGCAGTGTGCATTAAACATAAACAATTTGACGACAAATAACTCTTTGGATGTCTCTTTGAAACGGAGAATAAACATTGTGAATAATTTTGGTAAATGTTCGAGCATTTTAATCTAAATTTTTGCAAAGTACTTAATAATTGATCACCAGTGCACACCTATATTTCATTCAGAACAATACCGACATGTGCATGTATAAATTCAAAGGGACGTCGGTTTCATCTTCATACAGCATCTTCATTTTCTGAATGTCAATTTATAAATTTACGAGTATGTCCTCTTATTGACTTCATTACTAAACATGATTTGTTTTGGATATTCATTGTTTAGTGTTATGGTTTTAATATGTGAAGTTGCCGTCTTATGACAGAACCCCACACCTGATTCTAGTAATCTTGTATATCTACTAAAAAAGTTTTATCCTTTGCCTCCTGGTACCGCGTATTTTCAATCTACCTTTAAAGGGCGTTATCAACTACTTTCGCCCTTTTTTAAACGATAGAAAACGGAAATAAGAAACATTAATTTTTCTTTAAGTTATTAACAATTTCTGCAAGTAATATTTATAACTGATTGCAGGAATAGACTGGTACTTTTGATTTTTCCAGCAATAAAATTGCATATTTACAATTAGTTCTGTATATATAACTCTGCTGTACAAAATATTCAAAAATGAACTATCTCAATATTTTGGTTGTTTGTATTGCTGTGACGATTTCTGTTTGGCGTATACTCCACATAGCCTTTAATTCATATCAAATGCTACTGCATAGATGAACTGGACAGACCGACGAGCTAAGACTATCTGTTTAACACATGAATTGATCAAATCCGATTTGAATTAATTTGAATTAATTTTGATTTGAGAAAGTCCTTCTCAATCATTTTTGTGGTAATAACTCGAAATATGTCAAACTCAGAAAATGCAGTTTTGAGCCATATTAAGTCATTCTGAATCAAATTATATGTTTAGAAATGCACCATATTGCTGTTAGAACCTCAAAGCTCCCATATAAATATGTTATACTTTCAATTCTAGTAATGGTTTGAAGACTTTTGAAAATAACCCATTGGAAAATAAATTCAGGCAAAATTTACCCTATTTCTTTGGTCATACTTTGCCGCAAACTTATGAGTTTGGTGTGAGGTTATCGACTGAATCTTGCATCGTCAAAATATATTTTTTCGAGACAAATGATTATATATTTGCCAATGATATTAAACTTCAGTAGATTAAAAAAAGGAAAAAAACTTTAAAAAGAAATGTTTTATCTTTTGCTGATACAACTTTTACAATGTTGTTTAATTTCTTTTTTGAACTTTATTTAATTTTGATTGATTGATTTTATTTTTTAGCAAGAGATACATATACATTACAAACATGAACGTAATGAAGTTTTTCTACTCTTTGAAGAACTATTGTCATTTGTACATTATTGTACAAAAGCTTTGCTGAACTTTTGGAAATAAAACAAGTATTCAGTGAATTTTAACATATTTAGGACTAAGATTTCAAAATATTCTTATAAGAATAAATAAAACAAAATCTTATCCTTTGATGGTCTTACGTTTTATTCATGCAATTGTTTAGTTCTTTTCAATTTGCTGTTTTGCAAGAAATCTAGCATTTTTTAATGTTTCATGAAACTGTACAATGAAATAATAGTATTTTAAGATTATTTGATTGTTGGTTGCATAAAGTCCAGTAGCAAATATGTAATGCATGTTTAGGACGAGAACAAATTAACAATTTAACAACAAAAGGAAGGTCCTGTAATAGAAGCCATTCGGGGTGGTGTGGGTCGGTGGAAATTTGGACTGCCACTGGAAAGTGAGGGTATATTGGATAGAGACAGAAATTTGGCATCGCAATAGGGCACCTACGGACATCCTACACAGCCAAATTGACGCCCCACTTCAGCAAGGGTTTAATGCTGGTCGGAATAAGGCTTAAGTGACCATATGTCTATTCCCCTGTAACACTTAAGGATTGTATTTTAAGAGAGAAATAATATTCATTAAAAACATTGAAAAAAAACCTTATCATGCAGAAAAAGGAAGTAAAAAACATCTTACAACATTCTTTGTTACATGAAAATGAATAAAAGTTATTTGGATCAATGTTTTTCTACCATCAACTTTCTTAAGACATGCATTTTAACTATGACCACAGTGTCATAAATCCTAGTTATCGATTATTATGCACCTTTTTGCCGGTTGTGTTCCGTTTCTGACTTCGAGATTTGTTACATTTATTTGATTTTGGAATTGTATGACGGGTGATGCTTCTATAGCAGGAGATGTTCACAAATGAATGTATCTTGTTTTACTTTTTGTAGATCGGAGATTATTCCATTCTCATTGTTTGCCTTCTCGTATTTGTCATTTATACCAAGACTTATAGACAATTATTCTGTAAATTTACCGATTGTGTCGTATTCCCGATTGTGACATTTTGAATGAGTGTGGATTGGTTTAGCGGGTTATACATACATTGCTAGAGGCGCTTATCCTGTCGACGCACAAGATCTCGCTCATCTTGGGATTGTGCTATTCCCCCAGGTTTTGTTCTTAACCTTGATTAGTATCTTCTAAATGAATTCAGGAGAATTGAACATCAGTAAACTAGTGTTGTCAAAATGTATGTCAATGTACAACCGGCATACTTACTTCGTATTCAATCAATCTAAATATGCAAATGTTCGTGCCAGTTCCAAGTTGGGAACCTCGTCCGTCATATTGTTTGTCTTCATTTAGAAATTACCTGTTGATTACACATCAGTGGTGATATCATTTAAATTCATAAACAACTTTTATAGAAATATCGAATGAAAAACAATACATCGACCAATTGATGAATCGAATATTTTATGGCATGTTTAAAAAAGGAAAACAAAAATACAGAACTCCAAGGTGAATTCAAAAAGGGAAAGTTCATAAAAACTGACACATCAAACATTAGACTTTTTAACCAATGGAACAAATAGTAATCAACTGTCATATCCATTTATTCATAGGACTTGGTACATGCATTTCCCGAGGAAAATAGTGGGTTAATCCTGGTTTTATAGCTATATAAAAAGGTCCCTTTTTATTTTAACCTCAGATTTTCCGGTTTTTCAATGGAATGTGTCTAATGATAATGTCATTATAAAATAGATGCATGTATCAGTTTTAACGACTTAAACAGAATATTCAGTAGCTTTAAATAGTCTAGCTTCACGGATTGATACGAAAATGCTGGTTTAAGGTTTTACCTCCAGGTTTTCGTCGCTTTAAATATCTTTTTATTGATAAAATAATTATTCATTTCAATTTATTTCTCAATGGCTTAAAAATAACATTCCTGTTTAATTGCCATGACATACCCAACCTTTTTTTTTTTTATCATCGAAGATCCTTAACAAAAGATTAACATCTAAACAATTTTAGCGTTCTGATATTTTTCAAGATAACGTCTGGTTCCGTTTCACAAATTAAACAAAAGTTTACAAATAAAAAATTTGAAAGATCTCTGTTATTTTTTTTAATATCTACACCTACAGTTAAGATCATATCCGAAATTTCAGTTTTAAATTCAATCAGAAATTTTGGCAACCAGCATAATACATTTAGCATATTCAAGAAATATATTTTGATGAAATTATACAAATACCCCCTTTGACAAACATTTTATTTTAACTGACCAAACTGCAAACAATGAAATGATCTGTCCATCGACTTAAACAGAAAATCATCAGCAGAGTTTGCTCGTCTAGTCTCGCGTTTTTCATTGTGAGATGCTCTTAACTATAGTTAAAGGTAACCGCTATGGAATCTTAGGATTTCAGTGAAATAATATTAAACACTAGTTTTGCACTACGGCTCTGTCAAACACTGTTTAATGGTACTTTCCTAAGATAGTACTGCTTACAGTTAACAGAAAGAAAATCGAAACTACCTGAAGTGAAATAAGACACTCTCAAAACATACAAGTTCAGTTGCGAGCATCTCCAATTTTCTGTAACACTCATCCTTGAGAAACCATAAACTTCAGTCAAAAGAATCATAGCATAGTTTTTCGGTCTATGGAATATTGTGCATTGTACATCTTGGAATCTTGGAATAATGACAATGAACATTAAGGGGACAATCATTGAAAAAAATATTGGGGGGAGGGGGGAGCAGGCGTTTTTTGGCTGATTGACCATTCATTTTCATCTGTTCCTACACATGCTGATTTTTTTCAGCTCTGACAAGACCAGAATATTCATTTTCAAAATCCTCTGCCGCAAGACAATAAAATGCTCTTACCCTGATTAATAATATGTAATATAAGTCGTTCTGAGTTTACAAATCAATGAAATAGAAATACAATATTCACCGATGCACGTGTTTTCTATGTTGAGATGCTTGTATGATTTTGCTATTTGGTAACTTTATTCTTTGTAAAATAATTGATGGTTTATAAGCTCAACACGTTGAAAATCTTAAAGACGTGTCTGGCATGTAGGTTATCACGATAGTGTCTTACTGGATTGCCTTTATTTGACACAATATCTATTCCTCGAATGACAACATAAAATGAATAGATGTTGTTTTAGTGAATGGTTGATGTTTTAGAACAAAATTAAATTATCATGAAAAAGGTAGTTAAAAGGTTGTATATCCTTCTTGGATTACTGTACATAACATTGCAATTTTAACACTAAAATACTAATTTGTTGATATTTTTACGTGTCCACCGGTTATAATTAAGAATACAACTTTTGATGTTAAATATAAGTAAAAAAAAAATACATACAAAAAATAACAACAAAAAACGCAAATATTTATTCATTTTATAAACTTAGAATACGATATCCCTTGGCTAATTCTGTTGTTGTTTTGCTGTCTTATTGACATATTTATTATATATATTCATAAGAAAAAACCAAAAACGATACAAGCATTTGAAAACGCACTTCTGTGTTTTCGTCATGACACAATGTTTATATGTTTATTTTTTTGTATTAGGAGAGGTCGTCTCTAATGTTGTTATAACTTGTGTCCACTCTCTTTTTGCTATTCTTGCAAATACAATATATTAAAACGAAAATAAGAAAAACACACACCATATCTAGATTTGGTTTAAACAAAAAGGACAATAACAATTTGATTTGATATACGATAGGGAATTTCCATTTAATTTATTTAGAATACACACATAAATCAGAACGTTAATACTAACCGATTTTTACAGTAAGCAAGGGAACACAATTATATTATTTTTTAAATGACAGAAAGGACAAAAAGCGAAGAAAAAGAAAAGAAATCAACAGATGATGATCGCTCTTTTAAATCTTTCAAATGAATATTTGGTAGTTTATTCAAGGAGGTTGTATATCCTTTTTAGATTACTGTACATAAAATTGCAATTTTAACATTAAAATACTAGTTTGTTGATAGTTTTACGTGTCCAACGGTTATAATTAAGAACACAACTTTTGATGTAAAATATGAGTAAAAAAAAAAATTAGAAAAAATACATACATACATACATACAAAAAATAACAACAAAAAACGCAAACATCTATTTAATTTATAAACTTAGAATACGATATCCCTTGGTTAATTCTGTTGTTGTTTTGCTGTCTTATTGACATATTTATTATATACAACATCAGAAAAAAAAACGATACTAGCATTTGAATGCGCACTTTTGTGTTTTCGTTATGAAACAATGTTTATATGTTTATTTTTTGTATTAGGAGAGGACGTCTCTAATGTTGTTTTAACTTGTGTCCACTTCCTTTTTGCTATTCTTGCAAATAAAATATATTAAAACGGAAATAAAAAAAACACACACACCGTATCTAGATTTGGTTTAGAAAAAAAGGACATTAATAGTAATAACCTTTGAAAATTTAAGATTTGATAACGATAGGGAATTTCCATTTAAATTAAATATAATACACATATGAATCAGAACGTTAATATTAACAGATTTTTACAGTAAGCAAGGGAACACAATTATATTATTTTTAAAATGACAGAAAGGACGAAAAGTGAAGAAAAAGGAAAGAAATCCACATATGATGATCGCTCTTTCAACTCTTTCAAATGAATATTTGATAGTTTATTCAAGGAGGTTGTATATTCTTCTTAGATAACTGTACATAAAATTGCAATTTTAACACTTAAATACTAATTTGTTGATAGTTTTACGTGTCCAACGGTTATAATTAAGAATACAACTTTTGATGTAAAATGTAAGTAAAAAAAAATACATACAAAAAATAACAACGAAAAACGCAAAGATTTTTTTTATTTTATAAACTTAGAATACGATATCCCTTGGTTAATTCTGTTGTTGTTTTGCTGTCTTATTGACATATTTATTATATACAATCATAAAAAAAAACAAAAAACGATACTAGCATTTGAATACGCACTTTTGTGTTTTCGTCATGACATATTGTTATATGTTTATTTTTTGTATTAGGAGAGGACGTCTCTAATGTTGTTTTAACTTGTGTCCACTTCCTTTTTGCTATTCTTGCAAATACAATATATTAAAACGAAAATAAGAAAAACACACACCATATCTAAATTTGGTTTTAACAAAAAGGACATTAATAGTAATAACCTTTGGAAATTTAAGATTTGATAACGATAGGGAATTTCCATTTAAATTAAATAGAATACACATATGAATCAGAACGTTAATACTAACAGATTTTTACAGTAAGCAAAGGAACACAATTATATTATTTTCAAAATGACAGACAGGACAAAAAGCGAAGAAAAAGGAAAGAAATCCACAGATGATGGAAACCTTGATGAAACACTCCTATCTGGTGGAAGTGAAAAGACTCATAATGAAAGTACATTCATTGCTCATTTCAAAGGTCGTCCATGCTGCCTTTATGCTATTGTATTCCTATCTATATTACTGCTGCTATCTTTCACCATAAACATTCACTACATGTGTAAAGAGGTAAGCTAAATAGGTTATATTCATATATTTTCTTTAAATCAGAAATATTCTCCCTTAAATGATTTTCGTTCGACAAATTATTGCTATTTTAGAAGTACAAAAAACATCAATCAATTTTAAGTTTCATAAATGATATTAAAAGTGAATAGGGAACACTGTAATTAAGTGGTAATAGGAGGTTGCTGTCTGTCATACTTGTTTTAAGCTTTTTGTTTTGTTTTGTTTTTTGGTTTGAATCATAGGCTTCTGGGTTATTTCGTTTGAATTGTTCACATTTTGCCATACCACGTAGTCTATACTTTTCCTGGTAGCTTATTTTAAATTGTTTAACAGACATAATTATTCTATAAAAACTTTGTCTTCAATTCAACTGCAGTATTTTTAAAAACATTTTTACAGAAACAGAGTTGTATTCATGATGAAAGCTGTCAAAATATAACTAGCCCACAAATGCTCATAGATCCCGATGGTTACAACTGTTCAAGAAAACCAGCAGGCAATGGTATTACCAACGTCGGTAAGTGATGAATAAATAGTATCAAACACTAAGAAAAGTTAATATACACGTTTGATATAATATTTTCAGGAAGCACTAAACGTGGTTCTGGATTAATTTTGAACAGTTCTATGCAAAGCGTATCAAGGTCTCTCGAGATCAAATGGTAAATTTGACAAGATGTGATAGATTTATAAGACTACCATAGGGCCTTATACTGACCACACAAAATAAGACCATCCTAGATTATGACTAAAGGTATGTGAGGTATATGTCAATGAGACAAGCACCCAATGAAAAAACTAACCAAAATACACATAGCATACAAATTTTACTTACGAGGAATCGAGACATTAGATTTATTAATTGTATTGCAAATATTCAATTCATTAACAAAATCAATAAATAAACAAAAGTATGTATTTTAAATCATTTCATTTTAAATGAATGAATCGAAAGTGAAAATAGCACAATTCCAAACTGTCCCACATGCATCTAAGTTTATTTAAAGAAGAGAAAACTAACTACAATTCGAAAAGAAAAACAACAACAAAAACCCCACAAAATCCCAAATATAATGACAACAGAGATACTGCATAAGTACTATTTTCTACTTGCTGTAATAAATCCAAGGACTTTTATATTGATCTTTATATCTAATATGGATAGTTTGTGGTTTAAATTCTTGTCCAAATAATTATATTTTACTCAGAGAAATATAAGTACTAAGTCATTCACAGGTACATGAATTAACACGTTTATGTATATAATAGTAGTTATTATTATAATAAAATAATCGGATAACTCATAAATGGAGATAAGTGTTCATCTATTGTAGAAAGAATTTTAAAACTTGAATTATGGGAAGAAGAGTTAAAAATAGTAGTGCAACTTCCAACCAATTTTATTTTACATAAAATTCAATACGATGATGAAAGAGAAATTGTGTTGTGTAGAAAGGAAAGAAATTATTACTACATTTCTTGTAACAAACCTTATAACGATAACTGTACTATCATTCATAGAAGTGAAGAAAACACTACTATTACTATTCAGGAAGCAGGTGATCGAATACTGACGTATGAAATATCTACCGAGTGCATTGATCAAAGAGCTGGACTTGAATGGATTCAACCACAAAAGTACAGGTCACCAAAACCCAAAATTTAAATTTGCAATAGTTTGATTTTAATATAAATTATCTTAATATCTTGAAACAGTGTGGGTTTCATATCGTTTTGACAAATCAAGAATATTCAACTGCTCTTTATTTTGATGATGTACGGTGAACCGATTGTAAAAAAATACATGTACTGATTTTGTGTCATTCATAGATACCTCATATCTTTTCATTTCTATAATAATAATAATAATAATAATAATAATAATAATAATAATAATAATAATAATAATAATAATATGTTAATCTTTTTATATAAACGATATGAGGTTATATTGTCAATTTCTATATTTTGAATTTTATAACATTTCAGTTTGAAAAAGGACGAGGGTTACCGAAAGAATTATTTAAACTCGTACTATCTTGTACTTAAATTGTTTTGCAATGTTTTTCTTTATGTATTGCTTTTTTTAAATGTTTGTAATCGCACTGTGATTCCTAGTATTTTATTATCATTCTTTTTATCTTTCATGTTTATTGTTATCGGTGGTAAATGCATACTTGCTGGTGCATCAGAACAATCAAATTTCTTTCAAAAACAAAATATCATTTCACTAATACTAATGTAGAATGAACATGTATGTCCACATTGGTTAGTTCGTGCATCTGTTTATCATTGTCTGTTCAGATATTTAATGTTGATAATTTCTTTAGGATACAAAACTTTCCGTCCACGTTTAAGTTTGGAAATCTTATACTTGCTTCTTAACATGAGTGTTTTCAATCATTTCGGAAAAAGGAGATGTGGGGTATACGTCAATGGGACGGCAACTAGACTTTAAGGGTTCATGCGATTTCCTCAATTTTTGTTTGTCATCTCATTGTTCAATATTGCAATAAAATTTTCCAAACCAGGCGTCAGTTATTTTATGAGGGGGAAAGGTTTGACTCATCATTTAAAAAAATAACGATGTTCTATATACGTTCCAATTTGATTTGTTCTTATGATTCTCGTATCATGTCATAATAAGATACGGTGTACCATACAAATTTCATTCACGATCTCCTGCCCCCTCTTCCAACAGATCATTATAAGAAAGGCAACTTGTAAACCTTCATCTTGAAAAACTTCAACATGATAAAAATAAACATAATGGAGCCAATTTAAAGGTTTAACCCTTTGAACAGTTATTTGTCCTTTGAATGTACATACTATTATAAGCTTAAATATAAAACTCACTTTTGGAAGTTTTTAGTTATAAACAACAAGAAATTAAAAATTTCATAAAAATAGAAGTTAACTAAAAACGCAAACACTATGTACTGTATGGTCTGTACGAAAATAAACTACTTATGCTCAAATGTAGATATTTTAGTAAGACAAACAACAAGACAAAATAATTTATTGTCTATTGTTAAAAACCTTCCGCCGCCCTTTGTATGTTTATCTGTAATACGTGTAGCTACGTTGTAGTACCATTGACGTATACCCTATGTTTACTTTGTTTACACACAAATTATATAACTGTTTCCGTTTTTTGGGTCGGGATAATATGTTATCGTCTAAATGGTTATTCAATAATTGAAATGTATAAATTTAACCCTGAAAGGGAAAAAATAACAAAACATAAAATACAGTGTACAAAGGGCCATAACTCTAATTAATTTAACTTTTTGGAAATTTTAGCTTTGATATGTAATAGGAAATTTCCATTTTCCAAATTGAGTAAAAATAGTTAACAGGAATAATAATCTCATCTGTTATCAATACAAATATAGGTTGCACTTCTGTAAATATAGACAATGCAATTTCCCATAATAACTCCTTTTACGGCTAAAATTGTGCAACTTTTACTATGAATTTTCATAAAAAATCATATCCTGGAATGGAACGTTTCTATACACTACTATTTTTTGCAAAGGTCAAAACATTGAATTGTGCGGCATATTTTCAACATTTATATGCCTTGAATTTCTAAGAGTTTAAACTTATAATAAAATAACAAAAATACCGAACTTCAAGGGAATTTCAAAACGAAAATTCCTTTACAAAATGGCAACATCATAAGCTCAAACATATCAAACGAATGGAAAATAAATGTCAAACTCCTGACTTGATACAGTCATTTGCTTATGTAAAACATGGTTGATTAAACCGGGTTTTATAGCTAGCTAAACCTCTCACTTGTATGACAGTCGCATAGACAAAAAAAATCATAAAAATTTGATATTATATGAACAACAGAGGTACTGAATAAGTATTATTATCTACTTTCTCGTGGTGAAATCCTGTTATCAAATTTAAGGACGAATAGAAAGTAATGTTTTAAATTGTTTTAGTTGATCTTCATATCTCTAATAATTTGTGGTTCCAATTCCGGTTGAACAAATGACATTTTACTCAAAGAAATATGAGCATTCGTAAATAAAGGCAACAGTAGTATACCACTGTTCATTTGTCATAATTCGATTAAGCAAAAACAAATCCGGGTAACAAACTTAAACCGAGGGAAAAACACCAACTATAAGAGGAAAACAACGGAACAAAGGAAACACTGAACTACAACAAAAGCAAACGCCAACATACATAGAAACGGATGCCATATTCCTTATTTGGTACAGAACATTTTAAGAAGAAAATGGTGGGCTGAACCTGGTTTTATGGCTAGCCAAACCTCCCGCCTATATGGCAATGTTAAAAATGCCGCTCAAATGACAATACTGCGTGACAGGAATACAGTACAAACAAACGCAAGAACACAGCACAGAGAAATGAATAAATAAATAATATAATAGAACATAACAACATGCAAACCACAGAATAACAACGGACACCTTCCATGAATTTACGACAGCACAACAGAACACCACAAACGAAATATAAACTGCGCGTCACATGAATGGATCGACGTCACAAAAAGTGACGTATTTTTTGTGACGTTTATATTATCACAGGTAAATTTCTAAAATTGAATAGATTTGTTGTATTTATAGACACGTACGTTCATGTGATTCACAGATACATGACTATACATGGTTGTTGGTTTTTTTCTCACCTTGATTTGTATCTTCTGAAATGAATATCTGAAAACTACTGTTGCCTGAATTTAACTCATGTATATACGTCTAGGATAATTTATAAATATAAAGCAAACGGTCATTTGTTGTAGAAAGGATTCTAAAAATCGACTTATGGGACGATGAGTTAAAAATAGTTTTATTTTACAAAAAAATATTATATGACGAGGAGAGAGAAATTGTGTTGTGTAGAAAGAACAGATATTATTACTACATTTCTTGTTACAAACCATTTAACGATAACTGCACTATTATTCATAGTAGTGAAGAAAATACAACCATTCAGGAAACAGGTGGTCGAATGTTGTCTTTTGACATCTCTACTAAGTGCATTGATAGAAGAGCTGGACTTGAATGGATTCAACCATAATTGTACCTGTCACCAAAACCCAAAACTTAAATTCGTAATAGTTTGATTTAAACACAGAGTATATAAATAACTTGAAAAATTCCTATCGTTTTTACCAGAAACCAATCAAGGAAATATACAATATATGTACATTGTCGGAAAATATAAAATTTATTTGTATGAGCTTTAGAAACAGGACGAAAAGTGAGGCTCGCCGAGCTTTTCTCCTATTTAGCAGCGAGTACAAACAAATTTTATATTTTCCGACAATGTACGAGGGTTGTCCGTAAAGTTCGTGGACAAGCTAAAGTCTGCGTAAAAATAGCATTTAAGGTAAATTCTTTTTGCATATTTGTAATCCTGAACTATATCCTAGTTCGGTTATATCAATATTTGTTCAATTTTAAATGCGAAATAATAACACTTACTTCATATAAATATAAGCAATAGGGACCCGGAGCACGGCGAAAATATCACACAACATGCAGGCTGGTGTTTTCATATTTTTGTTATTTTAAGTTTTAAAATCCTCCAAAAAATACATGAAACTTACATTGTGATGTCGACAATAGTCTTGACGTTACACCTGCTAAATTTGAATGGTCAAAATTTCGAAATGGCGGAGAAATCTCGATTTGAAGCATTGAATCCAGAATCGGCATCACTGAAAAAAAGGAAATTTACGGAAAAGGTGGAGCAGCGGGCGGTTATAAAGTTTTGTGTAGACATCGGAAAAACGCCAACAGAAACACACAAATTCTTAATACAATCTGAGAAACATAGCAAAGTTAGTCGTTTATTGGTATTCAAGGGGCACAAAAGGTTTGGGGACGGAAGAGACAATTTGGAAGACGATGAGCGGGAAGGTAGGCTATCTTTCAGGGAATCAGATGCGATAAAAGATGAAGTTCTGAACGTTATCAACAGTGACCGGCGACTAACAGTTCGCGAAGTTGCAGACAAATGTGACATTTATAAGACTACAGCGCACCACATTTTATCAAATGATTTAAATATGAATCGAGTATGTGCTAGATGGGTACCGCGACCTCTTACAGCAGGAACATTTAACAACAAGAATGGAATTGTCAAATCAATTTATTAAAAAAGTTTCTCGTGGTGGCATACGATTTCTAGACAGAATAATTACAACCGACGAAAGCTGGTTTCATTACCACGATCCGGAAACTAAACAACAGTCAAGTCAGTGGAAAAACTGTAACTCACCGCCATCAAAGAAGGCAAAGATACCCAAATCAATGGGAAATAATATGTTCATTCTCTTCATGGACCGAAAAGGAATGTTACTGACACATGCTGTACCCTATGGCCTGACTGTTAAGTCCAAGGTATTTAACATAATATTTGCTTTTAAAAATAATGAATGATCTTATATTAATAATTAAAACCTAAATAAAATGAAATAAACAGTTTAAGAAGGTGTTTATCAAAGAATAAAAAATAAATTATCAATCTTATTTTAATTTAGATGCAATACGATTAAAAGTCCGTTTATTTTGTACTTTCAGGTACTGAGGCGAGATTTGGTTCAAGCTTTGAGAAAGAAACGCCCTTATTTAGCAGCCAACATAGAGCAAGTGATATTACACCAAGACAATGCACCGGCCCACACTTCTCTAAAAACTCATCTAGAAATTGATTTACTTGGATTCGAATGTCTGAAACATCCGCCGTATAGCCCTGACTTAGCGCCAATGGATTTTGCGGTATTCCCGCATATCAGATCTTTTCTCCGTGGACAAAGGTTCGACGATTTACCTGAACTAAGACAGGAAGTAATGAACATAATCTTAAAAATGAAAACAGAACAGTTTGAGAAAATATTTGATGACTAGTTAAAAAGATGTAAAAAATGTGTTGCTTTGAAAGGAGACTACGTTGAGAAAAGTTAAAATGTTGACGTCGTCAAACGTCGGAACGTCGGAAATATTTGTTTGGGTGCTCCGGGTGAGAGTTTCTTATGATTTTTAAATTGATGAAAATACGATTATTTAAGCAGGTACTGAAATAAATTTTTGTACACTTAATCAGTAAATCAGGAAATTAGTTATATACTTGTTTTATTTATTTCGGACGGGTAAATAATATTTTATTGAGATTGTCCTCAAACTTTACGGACAACCCTCGTACATATATTGTTTTTATCCTGAAATTTACACCCAAATTTTTAAACTTTAGTTGTTAAAATATAAATCATTGTCTCTAATTTTTCAAAGAAATCGACATAGTTTAAACGCGGACCGTGAAGAGGACTCCAAAATGAACTGGTACGCAAAAAGAATTATCCACATTACCGCTTGCTCAACATGGAAGAGGAGTAACAGGAGACTTTATTTCAAAAATTTATTTGTGTACCTGTTATTTGTACAATAGTTGGCTGATTGCAGGATAAATTGCTTTTTTACTTTACTGGTTTACAGAGTAACAATGTCACAGAGAAAAATTCACATTCAATAACAATAATAATAATAACTATGGGCTCTAACGAGTCTGTGTCGCTCACATATCTCGTTAACAATAGCCACTTCTAAGCAAAAAAAATCATCATTAAAGGAGAATAACTCTATTAAGAGTTGACTGACAATTTCAACTGAAAATGTTGTCGTATTTGTAAATCTTACCCTGCTGATAATTATTCTCCTTTGAAGTTTCTAATTATCAATTATAGTTTTCAAAATAAAAGCCAACAAATGGAAAAAATAGAAAAATTACAGTTAAAAGGAAATAACTCAAATAACGAGTCGATTTAAGGCTTTGACCATATGAGCATTTTGTAGATCTTGTCTTGCTGATCATTTTTGCTGTTCAAAGTTTTAATCTAACTATTACTGTTTTCAACATAATAGTCAAAAATGCAAAAGTTGTTGAAAATTGTCATTAAAGGGCAATAACTTCAATTAGGAGTCGACTAATGATTTCGTTCAATCTGACTTATTTGTAGATCTTGTCTTGCTGATCATTTTTTTCGTTTAAAGTTTCTATCTATCTATTATAGTTTTCGAACGTAATCAATGCATCACTGGTAAATTATTAAATCAAGGATTTCGTTACCATAAATTACGTAAAACTTTTGCGAAGTTCTTTCATAGATACAAAGATTTGATTAGTAAATTTGGCTATATTTGTAGAAAACTGATTAAAAACGGTATTTCACATCCTAAATTTTACGGTAATATTGTATTTAAAGCGCGGAAATCACTATGTGATCCGTGTAAACTCATCGAACCTTTAAACAAACTTATTAGTAAAGGTTATCTTACCAATGTTGTAATTAGATCTTTGAATATAGTTTACATTGGCACTAATATCGATTTTGTCATCAGCAAATTAAAACATAACTAAATTTGTGTTTTTTTCAAGCGGGATGTACAAAGACACACCCACGTTCGTTTAGATCTATAAAGAGGTTAAACTCCTAACTATCCTACTGTCTGTCGATACATTTATTTTTGGCATTGCACTAGTAATGTCTTCTTTGACTGTCCATGACGTTAGAATACTAAATCCCTGGGATGTGTTTTAGTTGATTGTAGTCTCTGATGCATGATTTTTTATTATTAATTGTTTTGGCTTTTAACTAGCTGTCAGTAACTGTGAGTACTCTCAAATCGTACTTTCTTGTTTATTTGACCTGTTGATACTAATTGTATTGCTTTTTTGTTATTTAATGTTATTCAGGGTTATATCTGGTCTGTATACCAGCTTTGATAAGTGTTTGGTATAACTATAAATTTTCACTTCGTACTATGAACATCAAAATTATTTTTTTTGTAAAAATATTTCCTTTCTCTATTGGTACTGTACACGTATACCTAACAACAAAATTATTTTCATTTACCTGTGTTTAAAGTTATTGCAAATGGCTGATATTTTTGTTCGAGCATATTGTTTTTCTTTAATTGTTTAACATTTCTTACCAATATAACATGTTACTTTTATTATTCTTCCCTTAGTTTATTTATTTTGTATTTACATTGTGTCATAGGTCAAATTCATTTGTTCACTGTATGTTCAATGTTGTTAAGATGTCCTTTGATTGAGTTAAGCTATTTCAGTTGATATTTTATAGTGTGTCCTTCTATGTTGTGATGTTACACTATTGTTTCAGAAAAAGGGTGAAGGTTTGGTACCATTAAAACGTTTAAACCCGCTGCATTTGTTTGCACCTGTCCTAAGTCAGGAATCTGATGTTCAGTAGTTGTCGTTTGTTAATGTGGTTCATAAGTGTTTCTCGTTTCTCGTTTTTTATATAGATTAGACCGTTGGTTTACCCGTTTGAATGGTTTTACACTAGTAATTTTTTGGGGCCCTTTGTAGCTTACTGTTCGGTGTGAGCCAAGGCTCCGTGTTGAAGACCGTACTGTGACCTATATTGGTTTACTTTTATAAATTTTGACTTGGATGGAGAGTTGTCTCATTGGCACTCATACCACATCTTCTTATATCTATATATAGGCAAAAATGCAAAATAATGTGAAAAAATCGCTATTAAAGATACGATTTCCGTAGTTTTGACTGATTTGTAGATCTTGTCTTGCTTATCATTTTTGTTATTTAAACTTTCTGTGTATCTATTATAATTTTCGATATAAAAGGCAAAAATGCAAATAAATGGTGAAATTCGTCGTTTAAGGGCAATAACTCCTTTAAGATGTCGTCTGACAGTTTTGATTTCAAGGTTATTTTGTAGATCCCATCATTTTGAACACGTTTGCCTTGTCAAATTTTCTCTATTGATAGCGGTTTTGAAGATAAAAGACAAAAAATGCATTTAACCCAGCTATGTTCTCTTTTTAGCCATGTCGGCCATGTTTGTCAGCAGGCTGGGGTCATCGGACACATATTTAAACATTATATTCCAATGATAAGTATGGCCAAGTTTAGTTCAACTTTGGCCCTGTATTTTCAGAGATGATTTTTTTAACGACGGAGGACGCAAAGTGAAAGCAAAAGCTCACAATGTCCCAGTAAGTCAGGTGAGCTTATAAAAATAATTATTGTTATTTTAATCTTTATTATGTTATTAGTCGTGTCATTAGGGATGACTTTCCCTTTCTTTATTTTTTCCTTTTATTTCATTTAATTTAGAAAAAGGACAATGGTTAGTTAACGAAAGAATTATTTAAAACCCAAAATATTCTACTGTATATACTCATACTATCTCATACATCGTATTGTTTTCTTAGACGAATTAGATGTTGTAATTGCAGTTTGCTGTGAAACCTAGTATTTCATCAGCATTCTTTTTATATTTTATGTTTACTTTTATTGATGGTAAATGCATACTAGTTGGTCTTCATTCATTTACAAAGCATGTATGAAACACGTGAATGTCATTCAATAAAAAATATTATTTTACTGATGTTCATCCAGAATGTGCAGGTATGTCCACATTGGTTAGTTCGTACATCTGTTTGTTATAGTCCATTCAGATATTTAATGTTGCTATTTTCTTGAGGATACCTGACTTTCCTTCCAATGTTGAATTGGGAAATATCATGCATGATTCTTAGCATGTGTGTGTTCGAATTATATTGAAAAAATGAGATATGTCAACGAGACGGTAACAATACTTTAACAAAATATCAATAGATTTGTCACAGTTCCATAGTAAAATACGGTTTTTAACAATAGACAGTTGTCTTGTTTTTTTTTATACACGATTGAAGATTTATCATAAACACACAATCTTATAAAAAAAAATAATAATAAGAATAATAAAAATAGCAATAGCAATAGATGTTTTTATAATAAAATTTTTGTATTATTTTTATGAACATTTTATTTTGAAAACAAACAATTGTTAACAATATTGTAACACTATAAAATACAATTTCAAAGATACAAGTCGTTTTTTTATCACAACTCTTTTTTGTCGATCTTTTTGCCATTCATTAAAGATTAAATTCCTTTCGCCAAGTTAAAGGAGATTGTAGACTATGAATGAAACTGTTTTCGCAATTCCATTTTTATTAATGTTACCATTTTTTATATTCTGCATCATAGCATTCCACCAGACTATTGAGATGGTTATTACATTAATGTCTTTGTATATAACTTAACGTAAAATTATCCAAATCCCGTGTAGTTATATTATTCAAACATACAATAAGAATTGAACTATACTTCTGGCCAGTTTGGAAATGTTATGTCCAGAGTCCACCATCAAACACCACCTCCTTAACCTAAACTTATCCATTTATTGAATAAGTATTCAATTCAAAGTTCTGTGTATCGACGATGATGACAGCATTCATTTAAACCCTTTTTTTTTGTATTATATTGTATATTCCATATAAGTACTTGACGCTAAAGTTGACGAAGAAGTACCATGTTTTCTATCGTACATCGGGTTAGTAAAAGTCACATCTGGAGGTGGACCACTCGGGCTGTAAAACGTATTAAATATTTATGTATACGAAATATCGACACGGGTGAATGTATATAAAAAAAAATTGAAACAGGGATTATGAAATTGATTTGTTAGATCTACAGATAAAATTCATTAAGTATATTCACCAATAGTTTTGGTTTGGTTGGGTCATTGAGCAAACAGACAAGGTGTGACGAAATGTCGGTTGTTTCTAATAGAAAGTAACATACTTGTACACATCTTTTGCGAAAATGAAACTAAAGCGTCACTCATTATATTAACACATTTGTTATATTCCAATAGGAATAAATAATATTTACGTAAGTATATAATTCTTGTACACATGAATACATTATTGTAAAGCTGCTGATTTCATATTTAATTTTAATTCAAATTGGTGTCGTAAAACACATAATTTGTGAACATTCATTTATTTTTTAAAGTCTTTGCTCAAGAATCTATGTTCGCTTGATGTTCAGTGTGAGCCAAGGCTCCGTGTTGAAGGCTGTACTTTGACCTATAATGGTTTACATTTACAGATTGTGACTTGGATGGAGAGTTTTCTCATTGGCACTCATACCACATCTTCTTATATCTATGGACTAAACATATTCTATTGCAGTACATTTTTCATTAAATGCAACATGAGACAATTGAAAAGAAAATAAAACATATATAATTTACTTCGTTGGAAACGCAATCAAATAATTCAAATGACCCACTTCTTACACAAAGAAGAAAATGTTGCTCCTTTTGTTTATGTTGAATATTTTTAGTGAAATTTACGAGATCCTCGAATTTGCAGTTACAACGTAGGTCTAAAATAAAATATAAAAAGAGGAAGATAATGACAAATCAATACTTCCTGAGAAATTGAAAAAAACATTATTATCTGTTATAGAGGATACACGAGTACATGCATACTGACAATTAAAATAGCTGTGGGATGATACAAACCTTGGTTGAGGAAGATTGATACTTTCAGATGACCCCTTGTCTAAATTGTCGTTTAAGTTACTGAAAAGACAAATATTTTGGCTATGAAACCTCTTTTTGAATAATACAAAGGACACGAATTTTACTTTCAAATAACACGATTGATTGATTTTTGCTTACCTAACGTCCAGTGGAGAACATTTCATTCATATTACGGTCGACGAAACAGCATCAGAGTTATGTGTTCTGTTCGTATACGGTTTTTGCTTGTTTTGTTTCGATTTGAATTTCACTTTTAATCGATTGTTAGTGAAGGTGTTTCCTTGTTTGTTCGTTTAAGTTTAAGTTTTAAGAAATTTCCTTTGCACATATGTATGTCATATTACCTTTGATTTGACATGTTTTCACTTTTAACAATTTGTTAGTTTGTTATTCGTTCAACATTTATATCGTTTCTGATGTTTTAAAAAAAAATATATATATAACTATAGAATCTCCAGGATGCCAAATTGATCTTAAGTGGTATAGTTAAATTTCTTTAATTTTGGTAATTACTTCACACGCATTTCTATTACGAGCGATAGTTGGTTTGAAATAAAACCATTGAAATTAATTTAAGCATTACTGAGAATTTTCCGGACATTCGTGAAAACGAGGATGCCATAATTTGATTATTTCCGAGAAAAAAACAGAACTCTCAGGTAAAAATGTTAAATTTTATCATTACAAATGCTAAATATGGAACGACCATAAAAAGGCAGAAACATTTCATAGCTGATATTCATAAATACATACTTATCATGACGGTACAAAGTTTCACTTTCTTCAGTAAAAGGCAGATTACTTGTATTACGCCGTTTTGGAACTCTAGTCCTGCAACGAAAAGAAAGCTTTGTTCTAAGTAGAGATGTAACGTGAGAACCTTTAAAAAGTTTAATATTTTGCCAATTTTGAGTGGTCACTTTAAAACTAACAGTACAGATTGAACTTTTTTGTTTATATCTCAAGGACAATATTTTGGGGTCTAAATTTCGATACGAAATCTCAGCTGTCATTCTGGTTTAATATAGCATTTTGAACCTTTTATGATCGGACGATTGATTATTTATTGTGTTTCGATTTCTTTTATTTCTAAGGTTACAGTTGATTAAACCTTATTTTCTGCATCTACATGCACTCGTAATTTGTGACCAAAGAGCTAAATCTTACATAACAACATCAATGTTATTAATGCCATGCTACAAATAATGTTCCGAATACATATATCGGGGTTAGAAAGATGTACACTCGAAAATGTAGTGTACAATTGATCATATAATCTACTAATTACAAATGATTGGTTTTAAGTTGTTATTGTCTGTTTGTGTGTGTGTGTGTGAACATGTCGAACGAAGAGCCATTCTTCTCGTTACATTCTTAAAAGTTTTTATTGATGTGTGAGATGTGTCCGTGAAAAATGTTTAATATTTCTTCCCAAACATCTTTTATTATCAGTGTTTATTTTTATTGGAATATAAAAGGCTAAATATTGCGCCTGGAGAGAAAAACTATTTCTTTACCTATAATATCGGCATACAATAACTAACGTTACAACCACCACTGTTACAATAAATATGAATATTATTATCATTATTATTATTGTATGCCACAATCGAACATTTCTTGTTGTTAAATCCTTGTCTATCTGTGTAACAGCAATATTTTCTGAAAGGGAAAAGTACATATTTACATACATGAACATATGCTCATCAGTCTAAAATATTTAAAGATTATAATGATATTGTTCATGTATACTTTCATAACTAATTGCAGTTCTTATTAGCAGAATATATCTTTGAATGAATGTATAATCGGTTAAATACTCACTTCGTAATGTCCAGCGGCAAATGGTACACGGATTTTCAGATCAATTATGTCTTAGTGCGAAATAATTATTTAATATTTTGTAAAAAAAAAAACAGTGATGCTGTGTTGGATCTAATAGTACTCACAATTACTGAAAGCTAGCTAAAACCCAATTTTTATTAATGCAACTACAGGCTATAAAAAAAGAGCATGTGTCGCTCATCTGGATCCAAGTGCATATTCAACAATGACCGCTCTCTAAAATTGTAGACTATCATATAATTCATGATATCATTTTTTATTGTTTAGTTTCTCTCTATTGGCTTTAGTATCTACCAAATACATAAAAAAAATTAAACAAAAATCGTCATTTAAGGGCAATAACTCCAACAATTTCAATTATGTTGACTAATTTGTAGACTTGTCTTGCTGATCGTTTTTGCTATTTAAAATGTCTCACAATCTATTAAAGTTTTCAAAATAATATGCAAAAACGCAAACAATTTGTACAAAACGTCATTCAAGGACAATGACTCCTTAAAGAGTCGTCTGACGATTTTAGCTATTTAACTTATCTGTAGATGTTGTCTAACTAATCATTTTTGTAACTAAAAGTTTCTCTCTATCTATTTTAGTTTTCAAGATAATAGGGCAACATGATAAAAATTAAAATAACTCGTATACAGAGTCTTCTGACAAATGCAGCCATGTTTAACTTATTTGTGCATCTTGTCATGCTGATCATTTGTACTAAAAAAGTGTCTCACTATCTTCATTAGTTTTCCAGATAATATAGGCGAAATGAGAAAAAAATGTGAAACTCGTCATTTTAGGTCAATAACTCCTAAAAATAATCGTATAACAGTTTTGATGTAACTAGATAGTAAGTTGATCACAACATTCTGAACAATTCTGCCATTATCAGAGTGTCTCTATCTATAGCGATTTTCCAGATAATAGACAAAACTTGCAAAACTTGCATTCCTCTTTGTTCTATTCTTAGCCATGTCGACCATGCAGGAAAGATAATTGGACACATATCACAATATGGATTGTGGCCAAATCTAGTTTCAATTCGTCCAGTAGTTTCAGAAGAGATTTTATAAAGTTAACAGACGACGACGACGACGGAAAACAGAAGATAAGTGAAGAGAATAGCTCACTGGTTAGCTAAAAACCAGACAAACATGTTAATATTTACACGTCTGTTGGGTTTTAGTGTAAAACCGCCATAATTAATCTGAGAAGAGCCTGATTATGTGCAATGCCAAAATATTAGTTCATAAGCCGTTAAAACGACAACTCCTTTTATTGACATGCAGATAAAAAAATAAATGATAATTATTGTTAATCTCCTAGTTATGGTGTGGATTGTTTCACGCCTTAAATTATTTCCAACAGTATTACATCGTGTCAACAACACCATCTAACATAGACTTCATAGGCATTGTCATTAAACTGCAATTTTCGGATAATATAAAAAGAAAACAAAAACTACAGAACATAGTCTGCGAATGAAAAGGTGTGATGATATACAGGCGTAAAGTTATTTTACTTTGGTGTTAAAATAGAATGGAGATTACGTAACAGACTGTCAATGCAGACGTAACTGACACATTCAGTTGTAAAAATACCAATAATCCTCCAAAGTTTTGATATCTAAACAAAGAACTAGACTATCGAAACGCAGTAGAGTGTCGTTGAACTTTCTAAGATAATTTTTTCTTACCACATAATCCCCTGATACTTCACAATTTCAATTTTTATGATTTATACTTGTATGACACCATCGTTATCAAATCCATTGAATGTTATATATAATGTTGTCTGTAACAGTGAAAAACTACAGCACGGAAAATACAATGAATATTATTTGAAAAATAGATTAAATGGCGTATATATAGACGCAAACAACATATCAGAGACTCTGGAATAAAAAAAAGATTCGAAGCCAAATCAACTGCGAAGTTGAAGCATGTACTTCTGATCTTAAAATATGATATATAACAAGAATGTGGGCTTTATCAGAGTAAGGTAATGTTCCCGTGGGACAAATTCTAAAACAAAGTTATATTTAAAAAAAAAAATGTTAGTCAAACAATCAAGTATCATTATGAAATGATGATCTTATCTTTCATAGACAGATTAAGGGTGTCTTTGACGTAATACAAATAAGAATAAACAGCAGTGTGTCGATGTACAAATCTCATAAATCCGTGAAGACGATACAAATCAGGGTAAAAATCAAAAACTAAAGGAATCGCATGAACTCAAAAGGAAAAAGATCGAGTGTGTCTACAGGTAAGCGTCCCAGGTTATGCACGCATCACCTGCCATGCGAACCTACACTCATTCAAAATGTTACAATTAAGATTATGCCATACAATCAGTTAAACTAAAAAAGAAGAAGATATTCTTTCCGAATGAGTTGAGGCTGTGAGGTAGTTGATACAAAATCATAATTAAAAAAAAATGAACTCACTCATGCTACACATATCCTTAAATATTCGAATATTTCTTAACACCTGGTTATCTTTATGACTAAATATAAATTCGGTTGATGTTTATAAATCATATTACATTTAATGCATGATAAATGAAATCACTTGGAAACCCATTATATAATTCTACGAAACTTATCACAGAGGATATCCTGAATATTATAGGTTTATTATATTTTACTTTTGCAAAAAGAACTTGATCCTCTCTTACTCTGCTGTATACCCCAATTATACAATTTACTATACTGGATACTAATTACACATAAGTGTCTTTACAAACAACATTATATCGCTGGGTCTGTCTTATACTCCAGGAAACCTCTTTCCAAATTCTTAATATTTATTTAACTGCAAACATATCGGGATTCAGAATTACTGTGAAACGTCCTATGCAAGTTGCAGTGTGAATGAGATGTGTATACTTAAAAAAATCTACAGAACTGTTTTGCAAATTTCTTTAATCTTTAATTTCACTTTCAGATATACTGATTATGTCATGTTACTCAATAATCAACATTTCAGTGAATGGTTGCATCTCGTTTATCCAAGTGAAATTGAAATTAAGGATCCTACCGAGCATGGTAGATCTGCTTCATATCTGTATCTTTTCCTTGATATTTACCCAGATGGGCGACTTAAAGCTGGAATCTATGACAAACATAATGATTTCATCTTCCGAATTGTCAACTTAAAATTTCTCTGCTTCATCGTACGCTGTGTCCATATCTTAATTGATACGCTCGTGAATTTTCACACTACACTTCATTAATAGATGTATGGTCCTTAACAAATGTGCTCCATCAGAGTTATGATAAAGGAACATTGAAATCGAAACTACGTAGGTTTTTTACGGTCAACATCATAAATGGATTGACCGTTATGATTTGTCTGTTCCTAATATACCAGCGACATGTTCTCGCTATCTTGATCATTAAGTTCTAGTATAATCAGTAGTTTTACTGATTGTGACATTTTGACTGAGTGTGGATTCGTATGACGGGTGATGCATGATAAGCAGGAAAGGCTTACCCTGTCGTTAACCCTGTCTTATTCTTTTTGGTGTTATTACGATTCCTTCCGTGTTTTGTTTGATAATTTGATTTGTCTTTTTTATCGATTTATGAGATTTGAACATCAGAAATGTACTGTTAAATAAATAAAAAATTAAAGAGAGATTTAAATTAGTCCAATTTTGTTTCATAAAAAGAGTGGCCATCTTAGATACACTTTTTTTTTTTTAAGGTAAGAATAAATCACACTATGATTCAAGCAAAAGGTTTCCTGAAACGAACACCATTAAGATGCTTGATTTGTTCTATTGGCTACATATTTTTTTCGTTTGGAGGATGTGTTTTTCAACAAACAATCGGCATTCCTATGGGGACCAATTGTGTCCTTCTTCTGTTCCTTTATTCACACGAGACATTAAACAGGAGCTTTTAAGGAAGAATGGAAAGAAACTCCTTTAACTTCACGTTCTTCCTTATATGTGATGTCCTCTCACGTAATGATATAAAGCATGATAACTATGTTATACGCATCTATCATTGAGATAAAGGATACAACATTTACAGATAAATATACTTTAAATCTTGAAATTGACAATGAGTGTCGGTTAAGAACTGAGTTAACGACAGAAGGGATGAGTTCAGCTTTCCAATGTTGGAATTTTACATTTCTATGTTTCAAAGTTCCAACAGCGTTTGCATATGTAGTTTGTATCTTCCTACTGACACGATATTCCAGAGCTTTTGTTTCAAATCATGATTTCCTTGAAAGAGGGTTGCCTCTTGCAAGATATCTTTTGAACCAAATAGTAATGTTTAAGTCATCACTCCAAATGTTTTACGGACGTTACCTTGTTTTAGTTTACCGTTATGGAATATCTGTCTCACAGATGACCACATATATGAACAAATGTTGATGCCGCAAACCTGTCCGCTTTTCCTCGATTGTGACATTACTGAATCATAAAATAAAATGCTGGACTGAGGAGCACATTTTCGCTACATTTTCTTGCAATAATAGAATTATTAAACACTGTCAAAGTGACCCTCTCGCTTTTGTTGATTTGCAAACAAACATAGTATACCTTGTTGAAGAATAACGAAAGACAAGAAGGGTATTACATTGCGTGGAATATTAAACGTACCTATTATTGATGTACCAGTTCCGCATTTCGACAATGTCTCTCCAAAGATATGTAAACTTATTATACCGATTCAAATTCACTTGCCATTTGTTCCTCGATTAACTGTAATCATATACGCTTGAGATCAAAATTTTAGGAAGCAAGTAATGGAGAGTATCACACAAAAAAACCTTTATAGATTAGATCTTCAACGGGCAACTTTGAGGGATTTGCAACCGTATTTTTGGAGCATTTTACTTCAGCAAAGATTTTTAGTCAAATCATATTATTCAAATCAAGCAAATACCGAGGCACTCGCTACAAGGTACATATCCTTCTTTGACCCTAGCAAGCTGACGTAGTTATGTGAACTCATAATACAAATACTCGAAGTGAAAATGGAAATCCTAAATATTGAACACTGGAAAGGTGAAATAAATACAAATAGAGCGACAAATGGTAACCGAATCAAAGCAATGCAATTTTAAATGAATTTGCTATACTGCTATTATCACTGAAAATGTCAAAGGAATACAATTCTGATTTGCATGCTCATATAAAGACTGGGATACTGTTGAATAAATATAAACAAACCTGATTCTGTTGTTTGATCTATCATCTGTGACTGTTGTGATTTGTCTACAGGAGAATTATTATGGTTTGGTTCTACAAACATAGCTATCAATGATAGGTGTGAGGCATTGAATGGGAATACTTTTGCCACTGTTTCAGTTGTAATAGCTGCGCTTGTAGTTTGTTCTGTTGTTATTTTTTCTGTTGGAGTTGTGGTTGTATCTTCAGTTGTTGTTGATTCAACTGTAGTAGTCGGTGGATAAAAGAACTTATAAACCGCATGAAAACCCCTTTCTTGTACTCTGTCGTCAGATATAAACGTCACGGATAACACATTTAGTGAAGACCTATATGCATGTATTACTTTTTTTCCACAAAGTGATGCTAGCCTAGAAGAATTCTTTGTTGAACCGTCAAAAACCTCTAAACGATCATAAGCAGAAGTACAATTCCCTTTTATATGTTCTTCTAATTCTATAGACGTGAAACTGAGATAAATTGTACATCCATAAGGAGCTCTTATAGTCCATTCACATAATGATAATGATGGATATTGATATGGCCATCTAGGAGATGCAAATTCACCATTATCGTCCGTGAGTACAGAACCACATGCCCAATCTATAAAAAAATATATTTAAAAACGATTCTTTCTTTTTATTTTATTTCAAATATTATTTAACTTCGAAAACAATTACAAGGTAAACCAAATATCATTTAAAATTGTCCTTTTAAAATGCGCAATCTACATTATAGACGCTAAAATGCACTAACATGTTTGACTGAATAATCTTGTACTTTGAAGTTGAGTATTTGTAAAATGTGCATGTTTTGCACACTTTTATTATTCTTATATTAATATAATTTGTCAGAACACTTGCAATAAATTTAATGCGTTTAGTCAAATGATTGGTGCGGCCTCGATGGCCGAGTTGTCTTTCTAGTTCAACTAGCCTGTCAGCACGGATGTTGTGAGTGCGAGCCCCGCACTTGGGATGTGAGTTCAACTCTAATCTTAACTGACTAGGATTGGTTGTTTTCCTGTCGAAGATCGTTGATTCTCTCCGGGCAGTCCGGCTTCCTCTGCCAAAAAAAAACCGGCCGCAACAAAATAGTCAATAGTGCCTAAAGTGGCATGAAAACACCAAAAATCAATCAATCAAATGATCGTATGATCCGTGGTGTAAAAAAACTTATAGAAGACCCGTATAGGTAAAGCATGTAAAGATAAGATAAGAGGTTATAAAGAATACTTGTACTTACCCTCCTGATAAAACAATTTAAATCCAGGCGCATCAAATTTCGAATTGCTTTGGAATGTGAGGCTGATAGTATTAGTTTTACTGGTATACGTGTCTACATCGTGTTGTACACAAAGGGTATCGTTCTGATGTTGGTACTCCTCTGTTATGATTAATCTATCATTTACCACATCACATGGAAAATCTGTATACCTTCCGAGGTTAAAATGGATAATGGTAAGTCTTATGACCTATAAAATATAGCATGTCATATTTGATCCTTTTTCAAATAGTAACACCTGCGATCCGAGATTTGCTTAATTTTGTGGCATATTCTCTTCACATCCTTTTACAAGTACTTAAACATCCTTGGCTTTTAAATATTTGGATTTTAGCGTTTCTGTTGAAGTTAAATCCAGAAAAGCGCTTCGGACGCATATTTATAAAGTGTTATTTTTATTTTGTTTCAGACAATTTTCATTGAAATAAATATATTTTAGAATAAAGGTATAGGGTTGAACCAGGTTCTAAAGTGCACGAAATTAAACCTTTACATGAAATGACAGTTCATTTCAGCTAAAATTGACAGTGAATCTTTATGCTAATATTCCCAATTAGAATATAGCAAAGAGCTCTCGACCAATGAAATTGTAGGATTTGGTGTGTCTTAATTGTGAAGAATGAATGAAATCATGTTCTTAGTAAGGGATTGTCCTATTGTTTAGGCCTACTTACCGTTCATTTATTGCTTGACAACTACAGAGAAAAGGTAAATCAAGGGGGCATTGTAGTAAATAAAAGAGAACTAATATGCTGGGATATTAACGTTTAATCAGGCGAAAGTTCTGAAATCATATTCTATTTTAGATAACAAATATTTTGGGTATTTAAGGTTACCTAAGTGTCCATATATTGCTGAGATACCCAATGTTCTAAACCATAGAATATGATACTGTTTATAAGTTTTCACATCAAATAGTACCTTATGGTATTTCAATATTTTTTAATAAAACGAACAAAATACAATCACTATGTTGATCGTTGATAAATTGATGTTCATATTTACTAATAACGCGGTTAGAACTTGGACTGTAAAAATGGATCATTCGAGTTATCTTTCTATAAGAATTTCAATAACTTGTCATCTTGATGAGAGTTTACCTACTTTTTTTACGGACAGCTCTCATTTGAAATCGTTCTGTCATCATTTCCTCATACAATTTGTTATAGAATTTGTTATACTTTTTTATGACAGAAGTAACAGACTATGTTACTGTATACGCATAGCTAGAGATATTTACCCTGTTGATGCGCCAGGTCTCACTCCGTTTGAAGTTCGTGTAATTGCATTGTTGATGATATGTTGACTAACAACGGTGTACAACTTCAAAGTATTATTTTCGTTTCATAATTTAACAGAAGCAATCAGTTTCAAGCAATAATCTGCCAATCATACTGCATCATTTGACTGACACATGACCCATACCTTAAACTTTGATACTGTTATAGTCCATGTACATTTCATATTATGTGGATATTTCCTTGGCCAGTTCGGACTGGCTATATTTCCGGTTGGTGATGTAAATATTCCGCCGCAGTCTGAAATAAGAAGGGTAAAAGCTAAAATATCTAGGAACAACCCTCCATAAGGTAGCTGGAAACTCAGTTTCTTAATCATTATTTTTGTCAACGGAAAAGTTAAGAAATATACGGTATAACTTATGACAGTGGGGATAAGTGTGTATGTATCGATCTAGGTTGTTTTGAGTGGTGTGACTTTTTACTGCAACTGTTGAGACGTGCGCCAGTCTTTGTATCTTGTATTTACGGCTTTTGTCTGGTCTTTAATTTCATAGATTTTTTGTAGTTTTATTTTTTCACATTTGGCCAAGTCGTTATTCTCATTTGGTCTTTATATTTAAGTTATCTGTATTAATTAATTCTTAGCTTCTGTGTGTTTTTGAAAAACAGTTTTAATATGACAAGTAAATAACATTAACTGTACCAATTACAATACACAGATGCGCATTTGACAATAACTTTGATTTTATAATTCATTCACACTTAACAATTTTCAATTCTTACCTAAGTAAGGTTTCATTTCAAAATGATGTACCTGTGCATGACCATGTGTAGTTAAACCACCTACGTCACTTCCTGTTTTTGAACTCAAAAGACATTTAACGTCTTGAATCTAAAAAGGAAAGCAAAAACAATAGAAGATGTTACAATAGCAACTGATATTTATTCCTGTTCACCTAAAACAGCAACCATCTAACTAATATTGGTATTGACCCCCGTTAAGGAATCAAGTGCACCCTTAAACTGTTGATGCTTTACTGTTTCTGACGTAGTTTAAAATGTTGACTTCTTTGGATTTCCAATGATTTACAGGGTTCGCGGGTGCATGTATATGTATATCATGGTAAAATATTACGGTACGCCAGCCGACCGCGCCCTCCCTTTCCTCATCACCACCACTGAATACACCACTGATTTGATTTTGTATCAAGCATTTTTACTGATGAGACACGAATCGTCGAAAAGTGCATATGAAAAATGTTTTTTTTTGTTGTTCATTTAGTCGAGTTATCAGTGCTGTCTTATTTCTTCAACATTATCACTGTATTTTTTATATACTTTTAGCTTTTCACAATAATTAATGTTTTTCGTCATAGGTGTAATTATAGGTGTATTTTCCCCCTCATTTTTCTAAAGCAATTTAAGAAAAAAACTCTTTGCTCTTTTCAGAATAACAAATGGTTAATTTGGTCCTAAACAGACTTATCAAAATATGTAACACAACAAGTACACGTTATCAATTTCATTGAACATAAAAGATGATTTTGTTATGCAGTTTATCTGATAAACTCGAGACCGAAAGATTTGGAATCAAATAAGATAAAACCTTTGAATGAATATAAAAATTTGACCTTATTGACATTAATGATACCAATTTTGCTACACCAGATGCGCATTTCGACAACCTATATCCCTTCGTTGATGCTTAAGCTTTGTTTATCCATTATCAATTAAACTACCATACATTCGCAAAGAAGTGTTAAATTGGATCAGAATATGATTCGTCTGAAGTCTCAACGCTTATTCAACAGTGGTGTTAACATTCCTTGGGAGCGAGATGTGACTCACAAAAAGGTAGTAGGAACTTCGGTGAAAAGTAATGATTTCACACATTAGCATCACTCATACCACATCTTCTTATATCTATCCGTTATTTGCTACTTGTCTATGTTGTCCGAAAATTCAGGGTATTTTGACTATGTAATGCTATTCATTTTACCAACCTTATATCTTATTGTGATGTCATTGATTGTCATACTAAAAATGAATTTAAAAAAGAATAATGATATTAATAAAAATGAATTTCAGATTTATTTGGAGCGAAGACGTCTTTAGTATTAAAACAATACGGTATATAGCACCTATTATAAACTTTTATTGCAATAATATTATGTTACCAAGGGACGTACTTTGGCAATCTATATACGGCGGTTAATTTTTAACCAGGCAATGAGTATTTTGTGAGTTCTACTCTGATCATGCTATTTTAGTTTATTCATAACAGAAACATAAATATAAAACAGTTTCTTGCTTTTTATGAGGTTTATCAAAAAACAAAATAAGTGTAAAAATTATCTTATTCACAGCCGTTTACTATTTGTTACCTTTTTGTTGTTAAATTATGTTATATATGTTTAACTTTTCTAGGGGCGGATCCAGTGTCCGAGGAAAGGGGGGACATAATTGTCATAAATAGTTAAAATACCACTGAGCGTAGCTAGTGAAAATTGTGTGAAGATTTTAAGCAAAACAATTATATTTATACCGATCAATAGGTGGGGGTGGGGTGCTTACGCTCTGTAAGCCCTCCTAAATCCGCAACTTCTTCCATATCCATAATTTTTCAATCTTTTAAAAAAAAATGTATGAGTTTATTATAGGACTGTCTCACCTGATAATCAAATGATCTGCATATAAAATCTCTCTCCATCAAACACATCCGAGCACATTTACTTGGTGTAATACGTGATATTGTTTTCTCGTTGTGTCCAACTATTGCTGAATATGGCGCTGTATAAAACTTTTGCAAATATTCATCTGTGAAAAAAATTAATAAAAAATCTTTCAACTGAAAATCTCCTTTAATGAAGTTAAACAATAAAAGATATTTTCTTTAAAAAAAAGAAAGAATGAAGATAATAAAAGACAATCAGAAAAATCTTCTACACAGAAAACTAAAGATTGAACAATTGAAACCCCACCATAAACCGCGGGTGAAATCAGATGCCTCGGCAGGAAACAATTCCTGTTCCACAAGTAATACCCATCGTGTTGCTCATGGTAGGTAAACATGGATATTTTTAACAAATCTGCAACGGTTCTACATGTATGGCGAATATCACAAAAACATATATTTGTTTATGTTAGAATTGCCATTTTACACTTGTATCGTTATTTCATTTTTTTCAGCTTTGCATGTTTAAAATGTAGCATTGATTGAAAATTTATGTTAAAAAAGACAATAATAGTTATGGTGTATCAATACATAACACGAAATAATTTCATGAACATAAAAAACAATAGCAAAGAAACAGCACATTTTTGCTATTCTTCATCTCACTGTCACAGTGAGGCCTTCAACAAGGAGCAATAACTCTCAGCTCACTGCAAATTTAAAACTACCAAAAAAAAACTGGTTTGCGAGAAATTCGTTGCTATATGTCGATCACGCTACGTCTGTGCATTGACGAATACAGCTGCAGAGTATATAAACAAATAATAAATTATATCTGTAAAAAAAAGCTTACAAATACTTTCGTAAATTCCCCAAAAATCTGACTGTACAACCATTGGAGACTTCAAGATATATGTTAGATAACTTAGCAGGAAACTACATATGAATAGGACAAATAAAATATAAAAAAAAGGATTATGATGCACATTATACCTTTAAGATAGACTTCACATTCCCCCTGTTTATGAACTAAAGAGTGCTAGACGAAGAAAAGTGAACAAATATAAAAGAAACGTATGAAATCCACCGGAGAAAGTCACAGTTAGGCCGTGTTCACATTGAGCTAAACTCGGTGTGGTGTAAGTGTACACTACACTTAAACTAAACTCAATATTACGTTCTCATTGATAAAAATCAATGTTAACATGTAGTTTGAAACAGGTTTTGACTACATACAGTCGATAGTCAATGTAGGCCTTGTGTGGGTTAAGATATCAAGAGCGTGGATTTTATTGTGAATATTTAAGGAAGTTACATATACTGAATAAATATTATTATAATAATTCTATGAATTAAGTTATTTTCCTATTTTTATGACAAAAACTCAAAAATTGCTCCGTTAAAAACATGATTAAATTTAATAGCCTTAGAGGGCCTTTTGATTTTCAGTGGGAGGAGTATTTTTCTGATAGAATATTCATTTTACACCGGTTGATAGCACTTCATTTATTTAGCGCGAAAATTATTTTCACTTTTTTCAACTTTTTCTTGCAAAGTCCTGAATTTTGTAGGACAAAATGTTCATTTTCATTATGTAGTGGACACTGTTATTTTCACAGTTAGTGCCAGTCCATACTATTCATTTCAATAATCACCATATGTGTGACTGGAGAATAGTAATATGGTTACTCAGATCTTCTTCCGATCGGCCATAAAACCCTTCAAAAGAAAGCGTCCGGTTGGCTTCGTCTCGGACGGCATCTATTAAAGGACCTACCAATTGTATTTATTTTGAATTTGTTCTCATCCTGAACATGTATGAAATATTTGCCACTGAACGTTTATCAACCAACAATTGATCAATCAATCAATCGTTTTCAAATTCCTTTTTTCGCCTATTGTTACGCTGTTTTAACAACGTAATCGTGACATCTTTAGAACTCTCGAAGTTCTCCAAATCAATAGAACGATTTTCTTAAGGTACCGTCCATTCATCTTCTTGGTACAAACCATTCTTTTCATTACTTTGATAAAAAAAAGCATTTTGTGTTCAATAACGTACAGGAACATTTTTAAAACTCCATGTTGAATCCCATGCACTTCATTTTCTAGAATTCAAACATTTTTTCTCACTTCCCTCCTGGAACAAATACATTTTTTTCTTAAAAAAAATTAATTTAAACAATTTATCTCCCCCTCACCCCCCAAAAATTTTTTAGAAAAATAAAAAAAATATGAATTGGTCTACGCCTAACTGATACAAAAGTTAACAGAGAAATGTTTAATTCAATTCTATTTATTGTACATGTAAATTACGTGTACATGTTGTTTACTGATGTGAACAATTTTCATGTACAGGTAATTAAAACCGATGTACAGATGAGAACAAATTTAATGTGAAACCTGTGTTCACTACATGAAACTAATTGTAAACAGGGGTGGTGTTCTCGAAGCTATCTTAGGATTAGGACGTATCCTAAGACCATCTTATGACACGTCTTTGTCCTAAGTCGTGTTCTCGAAGCTCTCTTAACTTAGGCTATATCGCATTTTTCGTCCTAACTTTTGGACACCTAATAAGTTGTTTTAAATCATCCTATCTTCATCATAACTTAAGAACACGTCTCAGACAATAATTTGTAAACAAAAATGTGAAGATGAACATGAAATGAAACGCACCATCGGTTATTAACTCGTATAATTTATAGAGAAATTGTGCATTATTTTAAACTTTGAACTTCGTGTTTCACGATACGATGACACTACAAATTCAATTCTCATTTCAAAACAAATTGTTTTCCAGTTTAAATTACAATCATTTTTGGTATTATTTTATAATTTCATTTGAAATCATGCATTTAATTATATACATGTAATTATAAAATTCATAAACAATTTTATTAATTGGTTTCGTCATTAATAAATGTTTTATCAAAAAATTACTTTAACGATTTAAAATTTCGCACTTAGGATATGTTTATGACGTCCTAACATAAGATGCGTCTGAGATAGCTTCGAGACACAACTTACGAGTCCTAAGTCCATCCTGAAATTGGTCTTATGATGTGTTTTAGGACGAATCTTTGGATACTTTCGAGAACACCACCCCAGGTTTACAGTATATAGCGTTTGGTGTGAACACGGCCTTGCAATTAAAACTTTACTCACTTCTCGGAGTAACAACATGTGTGCTCGAAACACCAACTCCAGTATTCTGATTGGTTGATTAATGAATCTGAGTACGATAATCGTATTCAAAAGTTTTATGACTGTAAGACAAGGTGTTGACAGTATAAGCATCTCGCATGGTCAAACTTGATCGAATGTGTATTAATATTCTTAGATTTATTCAGTGATATCGACGCTTTACTCTATTATTAGTAAAACGGAAATCCTTCAAGAATCTGTCTGGGAAACTCGATAAAACTACAGTGCGAAAAACTGCTTATTAATCACATCAATTCACATCAAATGACCAGCCAAAAAGTTCATTAATTAATTCAGCTAGCCACAAGTTAAGAACTTTGGTTTGGGGAATAAAGTCAAGACTTCTAAAGGACAATCATTCTACCATAAACAAATTCAGTCTAAAATTTTCAATAAATCAATTCTGTCAGACGGTGTTAATGAAAGAGAATAATAGGATATAATTAAAGAGTCAATATCTGACTTTTTTCTCTCTCATTGACAATAGCACTGACATGGGGGTAAATCCACTAACATCTAAGCAAACAATACACCATCAGCTTCTTTCTTCTTCTACAACTGTAGATCATGCATTTGTATTAAAATTCTGACTATTTTTTTTTAATATCTGTGTACCATGGATTTTGGTTTACGAGAATAAAGAATTATATCGTTGTAGGTGAAACAAAAGTCAGAATCCTCGATACTGATGAAAGTCAGAATGGGTAATTCTGTGAAAACAACGAGAGAGAGAGAGAGAGAGAGAGAGAGAGAGAGAGAGAGAGAGAGAGAGAGAGATGGTTAAAACCGAATGTCAAATAAATCACGGTTACACTAATGTACAACTTAAGCAAAGTTTCTTTCAAAATATAAATAAACAGTTATTCTAAATCACAATATCAATAATACTGCAGGGACCTGGTTTTCGAAAGTATCCTAAGATATGTCATAAGATATCTCTTAGGACAAATTTTATGACCATCGTATGACTATCATATGATATGTCATATGATTGTAAATCAAAGCTGTCCTAAGATAGTCATACATATGATGCACTTGTGACATGTATGACTATCTTAACTGAACATATTTTCTTTTATTTTAAATAATGATTAAAAATTTATAAAACTAACTTTGAAAATAATAAGTATGAAAATAACAATTATTACTATTTTTATTAATGATGAATATTTTAGTTTTTTTTCATTATAATGAATGAGAAATCATTTATGAAAAGGAAATAAAACCCAAGTTGTTAATTTGTTTAAATTTAGTTTGTGTGTATATGATAAAATTCTAGGACTTCGCGTTTATGTATCATTATATATGAAGTGTTATTCAATTGTGAATACCTTTAAGATTCTGTACATCGGGTACCCGCTTAACGATAAGTCCGTGCAAATACGTTAATAAACTACTATATAAGGAGTGAACTAAGGGAGCTACCGTTTGATTTTTATGAGGGGGGGGGGGGGGGGGGGGGGGGGCTAGGATGAAATTTGAAAAAAGGCAGGACAGGAGTAATGAGTAAAAAAAAAGGCAGGATGAGTAACGTGGCAAAAAAAAGGCAGGAACGAATAGAGTGAAAAATAAAAAAGCACGACAGAAATTACAACTAAAAAAAAAAATGCAGGACAACATTTTTCATCCAAGCCCCCCCCCCCCCCCCCCCATAAAATCAAATGGTAGCTCCCTAATATACATATATGTATTATACATAATCATGAGTAAGAAAAGGAGTTAATTTTTTACGTCGCAGGAGATTCAAATTTTACTTGACGAAGCGGAGAAGAATAAATCTTTTATCGTTAAGCAGACTGAGCAACACACCAACAAACAGTGTCAAAAAGAGAGTATGGAAGGCTGCATGTGCAAAGATAAATGCAGTAAATGACACTGATCACCTTAGAACAGTGGAAAAGATGTCGTACCTTTCATGATAACCATATAAAGACCA